TCATTCATCGAGGTGGGAAAACGTCCATGTTTTATAGTACTCAATGAATAGTAATCAGTTCGTACAATTGTAGATGATCCGTGGTGAACAGCCGAGTTTTGTGAACAGCCGAGCCTTGCGAATCGGTATCGGTAGAGCAGCGCATGCATGGTTGTATACACGGTAGCATCATCAGTAACCTCTACTCCGAACCGACCACTCGCATGGCGGTTTGCATCATGTCACATTAGCCAATTTATTTAATTTTTTTAAAAAGAGAGACTGACAACAAAATTCCGAAGGGAAAACGTTCGTTTTGCGCAACTCCCAGGCAGATGTGATAACAATATAATCTTGTCGAGTTAGCTGGTTATGCTGTAAAATATGGCCACCATTTGCACTTCGTGGTGCTAAATGAAGGATATCAAAAATGTATGGAATAAACATGTTGACATTATGTGTACAGTTTATTTCTTTTTCGAGACCTTCTTCACTTCTGGTCTTCATTTCTTGAAAAAAAAAAGGTATCACAGACTGCCAGTGGCGTAACTGGGTGGGGGGGGGGGGGGGGGACGGGGGCACCCCCAACGAATGTCAGTGCCCCCCCCCCCCCTACCGGCGCTCCCCATTTAAAATCTTGAAATGAACAAAAATATGTCATTTGCCTTCAGTGTCCCATTGAAAATTGTGTGCACCCAGGTGCCCCCCCCCCACCGGCCCACCAGAATTAGGTTCAACCCTAGTCACGCCACTGACTGTTAATACCAAGTAAACACATTAGTCCCTTTTAACATCTTATTTTTCCCCGGTTTCTATCGTCGAGGAGGAAAGTGTCTTTAACTTAACAATGGGAAAATTGTTTAGGTTCTTGGGAATTTACGTTAAATGTTTGAGAAAATGTATTTCATTCTTCCCGAGGGATTTTGTCAGCATTAACGATTTAGGTCGATTTGGGATCTAAAATCGCTTGTAATTTCATACTTGATGGCATCAGAATAACGTCACAGTGATATTGAGACCGATGGCTCATTCAAAAGTGAATAAGTTTCATAATTGCTAGGAAAAAAAGCAATTAAAAAATGAATTTCGAGGTGAACCTCAAAATAATTTATCTCGGCAAGTCGTCATCTCGATTTCCGTAAGTCAACTCGGCGAGTTACCACTTCTTTACAAATTGTCATGTCAACTTCGGGAAGTTGACTTGGCGACATGATTTATCTGGACAAGCCGACATCTTAATGGAGGAAGTCGATTTAGTGAGAGAATTCATCTCGACAAGTCGTCATCTAGAACTCGTTAAGTCGACTTGGCGAGATGATTTATCCCGGCAAGTCGTCATCTCGACTTCGGGAAGTCGACTTGGCTGGATAGTTCATCTCGACAAGTCGTCATCTCGACTTTGGGAAGTCGACTTGACAAGATAACTTATGTGATTAATTCGCCTTACTCTCCGTTATTATGTCAACATGCACGATTGTCAAAACATTTCTCCATGGGTTGGGGATCGCATCGTAATCGTGATAGACTTGAATGAAGTCGGTAATTGGCCGGGCTTAATTAGTTCGCCCGCCGCGCTGGCGCTGGCGTGGACAGGTACAACACATGGCACTAACATGCGGGGACGGTTCGCGCATCTTCAGAACCCAATATGCGTGTAGGTTGATACAATTAAATCGCGACTTGATTGATATTCATGACTTATTTTCCCGCGCGTGATCTACTGTGGCGTTGAATGAAGTTTTAGACAGTATTTTCAGTAAGAATTTCAAGTTGCAATAGCAATTTTTAAAAGACCACAACAAACCTCTTCATATGAAATTCCTGTGAAAGGATATCAAAATGGTTGTGATTGACAGCACAGACTCATAAAACACAACAAATAAAACAGAACTTATAATGCAAGTCAGAAAAGGTTTTTACTTCTTTTTTTTTATTCTTAGTTGTTCTCTCGTACAGTATCTACAATTTTCCACTTTACATGATCAATGTAAACAGTTCCTAGATGGAAGTAAAAATTGATAAATTGCTTACTATAGGCCTACGTGACGGTAATCAGTTTATAAAATACCACTAAAATGCAGGGTTTTCTCATGCATTGTACCGCCAATTTATTTAGATTTGTTTGAAATGTCAAACTATCTTTCAACTGGACCGCAGCATACCTATACACCTGCGTACACATTCTAGGCTCCCAGGATTTTTTGGAGAAGTAAGAAAAGTTGAGATCTTTACCTCGATCCCATCAAATAACTAACGTATGGTGAAAGAGTCATTTTAGGAAGCCTGAGTTTATTACTTTGTAAACAAAATTCAAATATTATTTCATTACGCCTTGGTATAATAAGATGCACCATGGCCTTATTTCTTAAAGGACGCACCAAGTACAAATCGCAATGCACTTCGTGACCACAGACAGACGACTGACTTGGATGGTTGTGAAGGCAAACAATGCCTTGTTACGGTGGCTCGCGATGGACATTGTTTGCATTCAGAACAATCCAAGTGAGCTTCATCAGTTCGTTGTGGTCAGCTTGGAGAATACAGGGCGAGTAAAAAACAACAACAAATGTCGGGACTATTGTTCTAGTGAAGTTCTTCACATAGCACTTTGAAAATCAAAGGATATGAAAGCACAATTCATAAGCTTTCTTTTGGTACAAGAATCATTCAAATCACTCAGGTACTTTTCAAGTTAAGGAATTTTAAACACAACCACCGTTTTAAAGTTCTGTCCACGGATCACAAAAAAGGTGTGCGTTCTTTCAGCAAAACGAAAACAATTCACACACATCCATATGTTTTCGTTTTGCTAAAAAAAACAAAACACTGAGCTTTTTTGTGATCTGTGGACAGCACCTTAAAACGGTGGTTGTGTTTAAAATTCCGTAACTTGAAAAGTACGGGTGATTTGAATGATTCCTGTACTACAACAAAGTTTATGAATTGGGCTTTCATATCCTAGATTTTGAAAGTGCTACATGCACAACTTCAGTAAAACAATAGTCCTGACATTTAGGTTTCGTATTTTTTGACTCACCCTGTATGATGCACCATGGCCTTATGTCTTCATGGACGCACTAATTAAGTACAAATCGCACTGCACTTCGTGACCACAGACAAACGACTGACTTGGATGGTTGTGAAGACAAACAATGCCTGGCTACGGTGGCCCGCGATGGACATTGTTTGCATTCAGAACGATCCAAGTGAGCTTCATCAGTTTGTTGTGGTCAGCTTGGAGAATAGATCGATTGCATTCAGCGACCATCTCTGATATGTGTTTTTATATGTTAGTTCATTAAAAATAAATGCACAGGAGGTCTACAAATGCGTACCCCTGTTGAACAAAAAGCACACACCTCCAAGATGACTGCAGTGCAAAGGATCTATAGACCTGGGCCACAACGACGTCACGCTTTGTTTACATTGCACTTTCCTATGGGAGCTTGGTGGCACTTGTCCCAACCCAGCTTCCATAGGAAAGTGCACATGCACAAAACAAAGCGTGACGTCAATATGTCTTAGCGCAATTGCATTTTGACGTTAACAAGCTTCTTCTGTGGGAATGTACTACACCTCATACAACCTATGAAATCTTCATATGTCATCTCTGAAAAAAATGTTAATTCATCTTGAACTGGATTTGTTTTGCTTCAGCTGTTGACATGTAGGCCTACACAAATTACGAAAAATGGCTAAAACACCATTGGAGAAAAATCCCTGATATTCAACTTTCAATTTGGCATGTACATGTAACCACATAGTGGTGATCAAAACAACAAATACATGTATACATCCTAGTCAATCACAACTCACTCACAGTTAATTCACAAATCAATCACTGTAGTCATCCTGTCCGATGTCAAGTAACAAGTTTTACAAATGAACTCTGACAATGGCATACCTTTGTCATAGTTCATTCCGTTACTTGACACCTGTGATTGATTTGTGATGCGACGTGATTGACTTATAGTGGACTTGCGGAGACTTAAATAAAACAATTCTGCTCTGACGATGTCATGGCAACGACAAGACCCCCCAACTAATAAATACTCCTTTTTCTTACATACGACGATATAATAACACTTCAACTGTACTTGTGGGACAGACGTATTGAAAACAATACCATTTCAACCCATAACCTGGTGTCATAAACTTGAAGCTTCAAATCGAAGAAGAAATTAAAAAAAGGTTGATTTTTGAGTACATGTATACAAAAACATGTACATGAAATGATATAATCCTCTGTGTAGTACTAACTACATCAAAAGTTAGACTTCAATGTGATTTCACATGAATTCCGTTGTGTTTAGAAAAGTAGGCATATCATGTTCCCTGAAATGAAATCTGGACATATACAATATGTGAATGTATATATAATTATTGTTGAAATTATGATCTAATAAATGTGTACAAAAATCAACAATTGATATTGACACTGTCAATGTATTAGATGACACTGTTAAAGTATTTCAAGAGCTCAATAGTACTAATGCCATTGGAAAGGTACATCAAATACTTGTACAAAGGTACAAGTATTTGATGGTGTTGTCATGTACAATGGCGTTGTCTTAATACGGATGGCGTTGCCAGAGTATTTGATGGCATTTCCAGTTTATATGATAGGGTTGCCAGAGTATTGATGTTGTTACCAGAGTATTAGATGCTGTTGCCAGAGTATTTGATGGTGTTGTCAGAGTATTTGATGCCGTTGTCAGAGTATTTAATGGCGTTGCCTTGATGGCGTTGTCAGAGTATTTGATGCTGTTGCCAGAGTATTTGATGGTGTTGTCAGAGTATTTGATGCCGTTGTCAGAGTATTTAATGGCGTTGCCAGAGTATTTGATGGCGTTGCCAGAGTATTAGATGCTGTTGTCAGAGTATTTGATGGTGTTGTCAGAGTATTTGATGCCGTTGTCAGAGTATTTAATGGTGTTGCCAGAGTGTTTGGTGGCGTTGTCAGAGTATTTGATGGTGTTGCCAGAGTGTTTGATGGCGTTGCCAGAGTGTTTGGTGGCATTGTCAGAGTGTTTGGTGGCGTTGTCAGAGTATTTGATGCTGTTGCCAGAGTATTTGATGGTGTTGTCAGAGTATTTGATGCCGTTGTCTGAGTATTTAATGGCGTTGCCAGAGTATTTGATGGCGTTGCCAGAGTATTAGATGCTGTTGTCAGAGTATTTGATGGTGTTGTCAGAGTATTTGATGCCGTTGTCAGAGTATTTAATGGTGTTGCCAGAGTGTTTGATGGCGTTGCCAGAGTATTTGATGCCGTTGTCAGAGTATTTAATGGTGTTGCCAGAGTGTTTGATGGCGTTGCCAGAGTGTTTGGTGGCGTTGTCAGAGTATTTGATGGTGTTGCCAGAGTGTTTGATGGCGTTGCCAGAGTGTTTGGTGGCGTTGTCAGAGTATTTGATGGCGTTGCCAGAGTGTTTGATGGCGTTGCCAGAGTGTTTGATGGTGTTGCCAGAGTATTAGATGCTGTTGCCAGAGTATTAGATGCTGTTGGCAGAGTATTAGATGCTGTTGCCAGAGTAATAGATGGCGTTGTCAGAGTATCTGATGGCATTGCCAGAGTGTTTGATGGTGCTGCCAGAGTGTTAGATGGTTTTCGGCAAGATCACCAAATTTGACAAACCATCAAACAATTTGACAAACCATCAAACAATTTGACCAACCATAAAACATTTAACAAACCATCAAAAATTTGACAAACCATCAAATAATTTGACAAACCATCAAACAATTTGACAAACCATCAAACAATTTGACAAACCATCAAACATTTGACTAAGCATCAAACATTTTCACACACCATCAAATACTTTGACTTTGACCAAAACAATTGACAGCTCTAAACAAATTTGACAAAACCATAAACTGACCAATATGAAAACAAACATCATGAAACGAAAAACTGATACTAAGATAGACCTGGCCTCATAATTTCTCACTTTGATCAATGCACACAATCAACCTCCATGATCAGAGTGCATGCAAGGCTACCAGACTAATGTCTACCTCACTTAAATCCATCTCTTCCTGTCAAAGAAATGCTTAAGAGCAGGAAGATTAAAAGACATCATTTTTTAAATACCAAACACAAAACCTCTACCAAGGAGACAACTTCTCTTTTCTACATTTTCAAAAATGAAGCTCCATTCTCTCAGGCAGACTCAAACTAAATTCGGTGTCAATCAAACATAAGACTTGATCAAAATTTCAACTAAAGACAGTTATGGGACTACATCTTTGAGAAGCAATGTCTTCTCTAAATGTTCCCTGCCGAGAGAAGTTCAGTTCCTACTGGATAAGAAAGGTGTTCAGTTGGGTCTCTCTTTGCAGATTTTTACACGACATATCATCAAAGGGATCTCCTTTTTTGGTAGAACTTCTTGTTTTTTCCCGGATTTCACTCCCTGTAGCATGCGGTGTGACAGTGATCCAATTCACTTCTTTCAGCATTTGTCCTTGTTGAGTTTTCTATCTTCTCAACCATCCACCAAAGTGGAGGAGGCATAACGGCAACAAGATCTACTTCTTTCAGCGGAAGTCCTCCTTGAGTCTCCAGACTCCCCCGCCGTCCACCCGCTGGAACTGGCAGATCTCCTTCAGCATGGACTTGAAGAGGGCCGAGTCGTTGGGCGGCAGCTTGGCCTGGAACTTCCCCAGGATCTCGGCCGTGCTGGCCTGGCCCGGGGTGCCCGCCTGGAAGGCCACAAAATCCCTAATATCGGACAGCAGCTCACGTTGGGGTTGGTCCGTGGAGGAACCGGCGACGGAGTCTGGGTCTGAGGCGGTGGTGAGGGAGTTGCGCTTCCTCATCTGGGAGAGGAGGGATTGGGAGGACGGCAGGGTGGCTGTCTTGGTGCTTGTCTTAGATGCAGCAGTCTCGATCAGCTCGGTCCCCGAGAAGTGCTGAGGCTTAGGGGTAGGAGTAGCAGATGCTTGCTTCTGTTATAACAAAAGAGGTAAATGTCATTTGAAAACAGGTTAACCGAATAAAAGTAATGTAGGGAATTTGGTAGGACTGATTAAGTTCAAAGCCCAGTGCAGATATTTCCTTTGAAATTCTCAGTAGTAGAAGAAATGCAGGTCTTACTCATTTGACTTCGACAAACGTCAACAATTGGGTCTATGCCTATGGGTACCTATGGGTACATGAAGAGTCCATTAATAGATTCGTAGACTTTCACTATGTTTTCAAAAGTTTCCCAGAACATTTAAATGTATTGATAATTGAATAATGTAAAGTCAGGTGTGTTTGTTGGTCTTACCTGCTGTTTGTCTTTGTCCTTTGGTATCTTGCTACCACCGAGAAGACCAGCAACCTTATTGTTGGATTTCTGTCCAAATCTGGGTCTACAAAAAAGGGGGGAAAAATGATAAGATATAATCATTAGAAAGAGTAAAATTCTATCTAGTTTTTGAAAGAAGTTTTTTCCAGGAAAATATTTTATATTTTTTTTCTCAAAAAGTTATTTCATATCCGTGCTGAAAAGGTGAAACAAAAAGCCTGAAAATTTAATGGGTCCAATTGTATGGCGGTGTCAACCACAAACCATAAATTTCAAAGCCTATAGACTAATTTGGCGGCAGCCATTTTCTGAGGTGGAACCAAGCTCAGGCGAGTCGCGATCAGGTAGTACGCACGCACTCCGGGCTTCTTCGACCAAAAGGGTTACCAAAATGAGTGCGCATCTCGTAATTACGAACGAACGCATGCGGCATGCGTGCAAACGTGGCATCTAATTTTGTTCGCATAACTAGTTTGTAGTTGTTTTTAAAGCAGCTCGAGATTGACGCATTCTGGTCTCTACCTTCACAGGTACCTCAATTGCCTCACTCCTGGGTGGAGAGAGGCAATTGTAGTAAAGTGTCTTGCCCAAGAACACACGCACCATGTCCCCCGTCAGGGTTCGAACCCACGTACCACAGCACCCGAGTCGAACACCGTAATCAGTAAACCACAGCGCTTCTCTTATAGTAAGCAGCGCCATGAAATTGAGCTCAACCCAAAACAAGAAAACATACCATTTTCCCATTCTTCTATTATGACACATCCCAACAAAATACAAAATCTTCACAACCTTCACTCGAAAAATCCAGTCTCTTACTTTTTAGGTGGTGGCGTGCTGCCTCCCTGGTTCCGCGATCCCGTCCACGTCGGCACGCCGGATGACGCTCGGTGGCAGTGTCGTCTGGACTGTCGCAGGGCCTGGACTGCATCCCTGGCCACACGGTCCGCCTCGCCTTCCACTAGAAGATAGTCTGGGTGTCCAGCCTGCATGATGCTGTCGTGCTGGAGGGCACTGTGCACGCCTACAATGAATGGTAATCATGTATACAGTTGTGACAAGGGGGATTTCAATATTTGGGCACAACATGGATTCCTCATGCAGTGATGCATTCAACCTTTTCAGTTTTTGTTTTTTTGAACTCATGGATTTTAAGTGTGTTACTAAAATATGATAGTAATTCAGTTATTTGTTATGAAACGCCTTTGTGTTATAACCAAAAACGATAGTTTCCTTATTAAACACTAGAGATGCTCAAAAGTAAGGCTTCAATCCTTATTCACATGACAGTAGCGATTATTTTTCAAAAACAAATTTCAATTTGATTTCAGAATGGAAATTTCTATCCTGAAAAAAGTACCACTTGAATATAATAAGTCATACATTTTTATAGTGTCATTATTACTCTGATGTCATTCACATTTTAAGGCAACGAAATCAAAAAATGTTCAAGCGAACAGTCCACCAGATATGGCAGTTTTGGATACCACTGTTGAGAATACTTGCAGTGGTCAAGTTGCAATGGTGATGCTCCTGACCTGATTTCTTGAGGAGTTTAGTGAGCACGTAGTCGTCTTGCTGAGCATCAGTCTGTGCTGGTTTCTCCTCCTTGTCTGTCTTGGGGCGATACGCTGCATGCTTGGCCAAATGGGCTATGCGGTGACCATCAAGTCCTGATTATACAAAAAAAAATTGGAAATATTTTTTCTTCAAATTCTGAGCTTCAAGTAAAAGCAGTGTAACATCCCATTTCAGACTGGCCTTTCGAGTGGAGCCAACCAATTTTTACGTCACTGTTTCAATTCTTCAGAACAATTTAGTTCGGCATTACACTCATAACAGACCATCATTCCAGACAATGCTGGTCTGTTGTGGGCGTTAAGGAGACTATAAATTAACTATAACCCTGCTGAACCTAACAAAGTCTTGCAACAGAACGCTTTGTCAACACAAAGTTGCCGGATCTGAATGAGTTAATGGACTAAATTTTGTCAGTTAAACTCACTGGCATCTTTCCTTTTCTTCCTTTTCTTCTCTACTTTGTGGAGTGAGCCATTTTTCGATGGTGAGGATGTGGCATTGGGTTTTGGCGGCTCCGTCGATTCCGACGGTCTTTCCTTGGCAACTTCTGGTGATTCTGCGCCTCTGTTTATTCTGCTTGGTCCCGGGCTGTCCTGGGATGCGTTTGACAGGGACTGGCTGCAGCCAGCTGCATCCTCAAGTGTAGTCTTCTTCTCCGCATCATCTTCGGTTTTCTTATTTGAGGGTCTCTTTCTAGATTCCCCATCCTCTCTTCTCTCGCCTCTAGTCTTCTCGACAGACTTCTTCCTCGGCGGGCTGGGACGGGCGGCTGTCCTGACCTTCACGTCCGAGCCGACCCCAGCAAAGATGGCGCTAGTCTCCGTGCCGTGATTGCTGCTGTCCGAGCCTAAGGTGAAGAGCTCAAAGAGGTCGTTGGACTTGAAGAAGCGTCGCTGGCGAGGATCCTTCAGGACACGGTTGGTCAGGAACTGCTTGAAGATTTGCCTGGAAAACAGATAAAAGAATGTATAAAATTAAGACTTTAGTCTTTATTTCCCTTTGCTGACTACCTTTTTATTACAACTGATAATGATACTTGACTGCCCTCTCTCATTATATCTTTCACATCTTTTTTTCACTATAGGGAAACAATGTGCAAAACCTAATGTACCAAATGCAGCTCCAACTGAAATGCCTTTATCAGCTGCGAACAAAATTGAAGGTTTTTAAAGTTGACGTTTTTAAAAATCTGATCACTAGGTTTAAGATTTACTTTTCAAAACATCAAAAACTGCTGTTTGCTTTCAACTGTCAGAGTACAAATTGTGGAATCTGTCATACACAGAACCCATCGGTCACAGGGCATGCTTGAGTGCCAGCTGTGTCATGGAAAACAAATTACACACGTGTACCTAGTGTAACTGAGCGTATGCATGAAATCCAATAGCTGACTCGTGATCGTTCATTGATGTAGTATTTGAAATTTAAGCCTTTTTTAACAGCGATGGTTTGGGTTTATTGTTAGTACTGATACAATATTCTTCTTGAGAATGACAACATACCAGGTGCTATAATTTCATAGGTTGCTGGACACTATTATTTATTTACAATCAAGTATGTTAATATTTTATAAAATTTTGGCAGTATCGTTTTTTGAATGTCTGCAAATGGTATACAAGTTGTACATGTACTCTACACTATGCAAAACCTCAAATATAGGTTTTCCCGGCTATTTGAAACATTTTTCTTTCGAATTCACCGTTTCTTATATTCGATTTCGACCAGCAACATCGATTTAGTGCACTTTCAATGTTTAATTTTGTCTTTTGTCAGACAATTTCAAATTTGGTCCAAACAAATTCGAACTATGAGCACACGTTTTCGACCCGGAGTATTCGATTTCAACTCGTCTACGCCTAATCGTGTTATTCAGAAATCAAATTCGTCGAATTGATTTATATAAGACGAATTCGATCTGAATGCTGCCATATGGCAACAGCTTAGACGGATTTGATCTGTAATGACAAATATTATCGACCCAGTGACGAAAAAGGGTGACCAAACTTTGAAATTGAATGGTAAATGACTAAATTGGTTTTGTTAAAAGCTTATGACATTTTTCTCGGACGAAATTGAATGCAACAGTTGGTGAACCTGAATGAAAAATGTTGTAAAATAGCTGGGAAAACCTATAGTATTAAGAATTAATTGTATACATTAAAATTGTATTTTTACCTGTGGTAGATCTTCTCTTCAATGGTCCCGTTGGTGATCAGTCGGTAGATGGTCACTTGGCGGTTCTGGCCGATGCGCCACGCCCTCTCCCTGGCCTGGGTGTCTGTGCTGGGGTTCCAGTCCGGGTCAAAGATGACCACTCGATTGGCCCCGGTCAGATTGACCCCTAGGCCCCCCACACGAGTGGTCAGCAGGAACACAAAGATGGATGGGTCCTGTTTTGGGGGTAGAGATACAGGAAATAATTTTTTACGAAATATAATACATCAGAAGAATTATTGTCAGATTTTACCGTAAACTCAAACTGAGACGTAAACTTAAGATTTAGTCTCTTTACTTTTGTCAAGGACCATTACATCGCAATACAAAAGTTGTTTTTATACACAAATTGCATTAATTGGTTAATGTATACATAGAATGTATATCATAGTATATAGTATATATCAGCAACAGTATGTAGTCTAATACAAATAATCAGCAGATAGGTAATGGGATTGTGCCTTTGATGATACAAGCATGGAATGTGGCACGCAGAGTATGTCATGAGAAAGATATCTGGCTATAGGGCCATCGCAGATTTGTCCTTTGAAAAAATATAGGTAGAATAACAGGCAATGGCAGCCATTTTGAAAATTTTGGAAATTGCTTGTTATTCTACCTATATTTTTTCAACGTACAAATCTGCGATGGCCCTACAGCCAGATATCTTTCTCATGACATACTCTGACTGTGTGCCAAATGCCATGCTTGAATCGTCAAAGTCACAGTTCCCCAAAATAGTTCCCCTCTCTGCCCTACTACAATTTAAAAAGGATGAAAAACATGTATCAAACCATTTTGTTCTCAAATCAAAAAGCTATACAATTTTCGCTCTTATACTTTGAGCATGTTCGTTCCTGGCAGCACCTGTCTCAAACACAAAAAAAGGTTCCAGATGGAACTTTAGTGAATAAAACAAAGCGCGACACTTACACTGTTGTACTGCTGGATGAGAGGTTGTCGGGATGAGATGGAGGTTGAGCCATCCATGCGCATGTAGGAGTATGTGTGCTTAACAAAGTCCTCCATGATATCCAGCATCTTCACATTCAAAACACACAGACACACTGCTGAATTCCCAAATCAAACGGCATCTGAATGTATCTTTGCTAAGCTGTTTTCAATTTGCGTAGAGCTAGTTCCCTGTTTTTTTGTTCTAAGATGGTTTCTTATTTATTATATTGATATATTTATTGATTTATATATATTGATATATTTATTGATTTATATATATTTCGACAACATCCAACAGCGCAAGCGCCAGAAAAGGATGAATATGACTTATTTCCAGTGTGGCCCCTTGGTAGAAGATGTGGAAGGAAATTACAGTTTTAGTGGCGGGAGGAAAACCCAAGAACAATATTCTAGGAAAAACCCACGGAATCAGACAGAGACTGAAAACCCAATCCACATGTTGGCCCAGGCTGGATTCGAACCCGGGTCACAGTGGTGGAAGATGAGGAAAGCACCACTTCGCCACCCTGATCCCCCATTTTTTGTATTTACCGCAAAGGTAGTGTGCTCAGCTTTTCCTGACTCCTCGTTATTGCACTCGATATTTTTAACAAATTGAGGGATGGCTGCAATGCATTTCCCATTTACTGTAACCCTTTAGAAGAGAGATTGGCAATTTTGGATACAGTTCAATAAAATCATTGAATGAATCCCCAAAATAATTTTTATTTGGCGTGTTATTTTTTTTTTATTCCCTCCCGGTGCCACACCCTGTGCACCTATTTGTCCAACGTTCATCATTATTAAGATTCTTGCACTCTTGCACTGTGTGGCATGGGTCATCAAATAGAGGGGGAGGGGGGGGTGTTTCAATTTAGAGGGAGACACTTCACTACGTATCTTCCATATTTTGTCTTGTTTTTAAAATAGAACACAAAAAAAGTGTTGTGAATGATTGTTACAGAACTCTATCATGGTCAATGTTTGCATAGCCCACTCGATGTCCTGTATTATTTGAAGGGAAATACAGTGGAACGCCGCTTTACCAAACAGTGCTATACCGAACATTTGGCTATACTGAACACTATCCTTTGCTCCTGATTTTAATGTACAAAACTTACCTAACACTGTTGTTGAAAAAAGTCAACAGCTTAACAAAAAATCTACCAGTTGTACGTGTATTAAACACTATTTGGGCCACTTTTAATTCCCGAACATCAAACGACCCATCGTGTTTAAATGTTGAAGAGCGATAGATGGCTATTATGCCCCCAAGGAAAAAAAGGGAAAACCACTCGTGAGAAATGCCAGTTCACTATTGGTCAAAAGAGGGTACCGGTGGTTCAAAATCGCTATACCGAACGATCGTTATTACGAACACCTTCTGTGGATCCAACGATGTTCGTTACAGCGGCGTTCCACTGTATAACGAAAAGTAACTTTAACGAATATGAGCCCTTTCGAACCTGTTTGCTTTGTGAGAACAGCAAGACCCTGTGGCCCTGCTTGTGCCAGAGTTTCAGTAGCGAGTTGACCACGATCATCTTCCCACATCGCTCCCAGTAGCCGTACTGCATTTTGGGATCGTTGGCGGCCAGGACGGCCTCGGCACTCTGGTCACCCTTGATGATCTTGGGGCCGCCGCTGACTAAGTCGGGGTGGTTGCATATCTTGCGTAGAGTAATAAGCCCTGCAAAGACCTGAATGGAAAAACAAGTTTAGAAATTAAAAAAATATATGAAATTACAATTTGGCTTGATGTATCTTCCTTGTGAGTGAGTTTTTGAACAATCTAGGACTGAAATTCTTGCAGTTATCATCCACAGCAACTTTTTCTGAGCAACCGGAATACATGTATTAAGTTTCCAACTGAACGCGAGTTTACCACCTTGTCTCGTCTGCTTGGCTACAGTAGCACCCTCAATAGCAGTCAATAGCTGTATATTCACCTGGTACTCCCTGTTCAGTATGAGCTGACATTCCTTGGAGTTTAGATACTCCTTGCACAGCTAGATCAATTTTAATAGACAGTATAACAAGACCTGCACTAGTGCCCTCAATAGCAGTCCATAGGTGTATATTCACCTGGTACTCCCTGTTCAGTATGAGCTGGCACTCTTTGGAGTTTAGATAATCCTTGCACAGCTGTATCAACTTAATAGACAGTATAACAAGACCTGCACTAGTGCCCTCAATAGCAGTCAATAGTTGTATATTCACCTGGTACTCCCTGTTCAGTATGAGCTGGCATTCCTTGGAGTTCAGATACTCCTTGCACAGCTGTATCAACTTAATAGACAGTGCAAGGAGACCTGCACTAGTGCCCTCAATAGCAGTCAATATGTGTATATTCACCTGGTACTCCCTGTTCAGTATGAGCTGGCATTCCTTGGAGTTCAGCTACTCCTTGCACAGCTGTATCAACTTAATAGAAAGTACAAGAAGACCTGCACTAGTGCCCTTAACAGCAGTCAATAGGTGTATATTCACCTGGTACTCCCTGTTCAGTATGAGCTGACATTCCTTGAAATTCAGATACTCCTTGTACAGCTGTATCAACTTAATAGACAGTATAACAAGACCTGCAGTAGTGCCCTCAACAGCAGTCAATATGTGTATATTCACCTGGTACTCCCTGTTCAATATGAGCTAGCACTCCTTGGAGTTCAGATACTCCTTGTACAGCTGTATCAACTTAATAGACAGTACAAGAAGACCTGCACTATTGCCCTCAACAACAGTCAATAGGTGTATATTCACCTGGTACTCCCTGTTCAGTATGAGCTGACATTCCTTGAAATTCAGATACTCCTTGTACAGCTGTATCAACTTAATAGACAGTATAACAAGACCTGCAGTAGTGCCCTCAACAGCAGTCAATATGTGTATATTCACCTGGTACTCCCTGTTCAATATGAGCTGGCACTCCTTGGAGTTCAGATACTCCTTGTACAGCTGTATCAACTTAATAGACAGTACAAGAAGACCTGCACTAATGCCCTCAATAGCAGTCAATAGGCGTATATTCACCTGGTACTCCCTGTTCAATATGAGCTGGCACTCCTTGGAGTTCAGATACTCCTTGTACAGCTCGGTTTGCTCCTCACTCAGCCTGCAGAATAAGACCTGCTCATTCTTGTCAGGTAGCTGAAGGCTCTGCTTGACGTCGGCCTTCATTCGTCTTAGTAGGTACGGGTTGATGGTGTCCCGAAGCACGGTGGCACACTTGTATGCTGTCTGCACCTGGAGTTTGTGATCAAAAACATCGAGAGGTTAATCATTAAGACCCATGGGCAAAAAGAGTTCTGAGCCATGAAACTTCCACAAAGGTTTAACGCTAAACTTTACAACTGGCATGACTGCAGAGTTTAATTCAATGAAGCCTATTTTCAATGTTGCATGTCCATGTAGGCTTTAAAACAAAATTTGTAAATTGAATTCCATCATTTAAGTTATCAATCGTGGTACCTGCTTCATTTTCAGATTTGAAACAGCCAGCAGACCCCTGCAATCTCAGTGTTCAAGTGATTCAGACATCTGCACTCATAAGCAGGAGGTCGTGGGTTTGATTTGCGCTCGAGCAAGGTTTTGACTTTTAAGCAGTACTTCGTGATTTTTTTTTTGCAATCTCTCAGCAACACTGAGAATGGAGTTAAGTAAAATTTGAGGCTTTGCAAGTTGGAGGTACTGATGAATGAAAGGTTTGCGGAAACACCATGTGGGAATAATTTCTCAAACTGAGAGAATGGTTCTGAAAAGAACCAGAGGTATAAACTCATTGTTTCGGTCAGTATGCTCTGACCGTCTTCACAGCAGGAGAATAGAGCTTAAAAAAAATTATGTTGGTGAAAAGCAAAATTATGACAAACTGCATCTTGCAAGCTTTCCAATCGGTGAAAACACTTCTTATAAGACTACGTCGGTGAAGAGCAAAACCACATTTCAAAAGGTAATCACATCCCATTGTACCAGTAACAATCTTTGCGGTTTCTACACATACCTGCACTTGTGTGGCATTTGAGTAGCCTCCGATGGTGATGGGCACAGAGAACTGCTCCATGAAAACGGGCAGGGTGCCCAGCTTGCCAGGGAAGACAAAGTCGATGAGAGACCAGAGCTCACGGAGATTGTTCTGCATGGGGGAACCGGACAGGATGATCCGATGACAGGTACGAAACTAAGATTTAAGATTGAAAGAATAAAAAAGAAGGGAGAAACATCAATAATTAATCACTTGTTCTAATTTTCCCGAGACAGTGATGCATATTCTGTACGCTTGTGAACAAGTTAAAAAGGTTTGGATTCAATTTGAAAACTGGTGGGAAAGCCAATCACATGTGCGTTTAAATTTATGTTACAAATCTATTGTATTCGGGTGCAACATATATTATCCTGACCTGCTTTTGAACCTCATTTAACATCATACTGGCTCAGTTTGAGGATTTGGTCAGATTTCTTTACAATGTGGAGAAAAGATAGCCTTTGCAAATAATACTAAGCATAGGTTTTTAAATAAATGGCAAATCTTGAATGTTTTGTGTAGATTGATTAGTTTATGGTAGAATTTTGTTTTGTGTGTATGTAAAAAAAATAAATGCCCCTTTGGAGGGTAAGCAAAAATAATAATGATAATAATGATAATAATTCCCCCCCCCTTCTACATAGGCTAGTCACCAACAGTCAGATCATATTTCTTGTAGGCACTGTGACTAGTCAAACTCCATCAACAGACAAAACAACTAGGCACAGCTGGCTTATCAACCTCCTGCAGTCAAGGCAAAACTGTATCAAGTTACCTAAACAGTTTCAGCCAGTCCATCCTGCTTTATGTAGGCAGGGAGCTATTAAGTTAAAAACAGTCACTTAAATTGATTGATCAATAACTGCTGGATTGGCTGTGTTGAATTTGCCAGCCAGAGAAAGAGGATTTAAATAAGTTTCACACCACAATGCCTACAAAAGATCATGAAAATCTGGCCAAAGCACCTGAAAAAAAACACCTCAAAATTTGTACGATACCAACTATTTTGTATCATCTTCGGAATCCTATACCAAAACTACCTTCGGTAACCCTAACCCTCAAAGATTATGTAAAGTAAACCACGAGAATTTTGAGGATTTTGTATGATTTAGGGCTCAGCCACTATAAATTCACATGTACTTTGTAAATGAATTTTCAATAAACACAGCCAACTATTTACGTAGTTTTGTTTACGTTTCGACTAGTTTCACTAGTCATCTTCAGAACGCTGTGTTTATAGAAAATTCATTTACAAAGTTGAAATTTTACCAGCCTGATGAATTTCTTTCATGAAATTTAGATGTAGCTCAATGCTCCCTGAAAGTTCATGCACAAAGAATGTGTAATTCATTTCCCGTATGCAGGAGGATTTTAGAGAAATGAAATATTCTTGGCTAAAAGGCCTTGGAAGTTCAGGTTAACCCAAAACCACCCTGCTTATTACTCCCTGGCCTGTACTGTCCAACACCGCGCAAGCACTCAATGTTTTTTTATCCATCAGTGAACAAACACCATGTAATACAATGTGGTACAGTTTCTAAAGAGTTAACACAATCTCTGGTTTCTTGACAGAGAAGCTCAATTGAGACATCATGTCAAATTTCTAGAAGGCGGTAAAAGTCCTACCTGTTTGCATGACTGCGTGACTGCAGCGTCAGGATTACGTATCTTGTGTCCCTCGTCCAGTACGATGTAATGCCAGTCATGCTTCAGCAGCAGTTCTTCCTGTATACGCACTCCTGAGTAGGAAGTCACTAGAGTCCCGTGGCTCAGGGCTATATCATGGATCAAGGCCCTCTGTTGAGCATAAATGAATGAAAACAGCAATAACAATAAGGGAACAAATGTGTGTTTTGGAGGTTTTAAAGATGCTGATTAAGACCGGTTGGAGTCTGGATGCTGATAATTACCCTCGCCGAAAACCCATTCATATATACCTTTTCGATAAAAAAATCAAACCTTTTCGGTCCGCAAGTCAAAAAATATAATTTTTCAATGATTTCGATTAAGAGAAAAATGTCTTACTCAAAACCAACTGGTAGGCATATTCCACATTTTAACACAACCACACAAAATGTCGGAAATTGTCACAGTGGCCGCCAAATTTGCAAACATGCAATTAATGAGCTCTAATGTGAACATTTCAGGCATTTATTCCCAAGCAAAGAGACTTCGGAGACATTTTTTAGATCATAGTGTACTGTAACATCATTTTGTGGAAATATCAGAATATCAAAGAGGATTTTCACCCAAAAAATACATTCTCAACCAAGTCTTATTTCAAGAGCAGGGCCTGTCTGACCAATCAGTCTGGGTGACCTGCATATCCGAGATGAAAGGTTTTTGGTTGTTCACCTTTGTTCCAGTGTGAGACCCCGAGTCGTGTAGGACAGCTACCCTCATCTCTGGCATCCATTTGTGGTACTCCTTGACCCACTGATGCATGACGGTGGCTGGACAGACGATCAAGACCGGACCAACACCAATGTACCTACAAACAACAGAACCAGACTGAATCTGTGACCTCAATTAGTAGCCATTACTGAGGTGCGACCGTACTGGAACGCATTTGGTATACACAGACATAATGCTCCTTCAACCAATAGGGTTACCAGAATGCACGGGCACCTGGACTGTAAGAATGCATGCAATACACGCACCTCAGAAATGGATGATATTATTAGCTGGATTAAGCCCGGTTCATACTTCACACGAAAGCAAGTGCGAAGCCGAATTCATGCCGTCAACAATCACGGATGCGCTTCGAATGTATTTTTAACGTCACAAATTCGCTGCGCTTTCGCTTTTGCATGAAGTACGAACCGAGCTTAAGTCTTTCTGAAGTCTTTTTTGGTTGCTTTTGCTGGGCCCTCCCCCACCCCCTTGGCCCCCCCTCCCTTGCGATGCCCATGGCACTGACAAAACTGGCCAACGCTCACTTCTTTGTGGCCCATTGTATCGTGAACTGTTTATACCGTCGTGGCAAAAACAGAGGTCAGAAATGATCCTCTCCTCTGCCTGCTCACCTGGACCCAGGGTTGCGTACTTTACTGGCCTTCAGTCCGGCAAAGAAGACAATCATCTGGATAGTCTTGCCCAGGCCCATCTCATCTCCCACGATGCCTCCAGCCTGCTGCTGATGTAACTCCCATAACCACTTCACTCCGACTTTCTGGTACCTATCACAAAAAAAATCACAAATAACAAGAACTGAAATATCGTTTCGGTTTGCGGTAACACCATGTGGTAATAACTACTGCTTAGAAGATATTAGTTCTGAAAAGAACTTGTCCTGCTTATTATCATTTTTGCTAAGTAGTTTTTTGTTCTGATAAGAACAGTCCTGCTGTAAGTTCTAAAGGAACTTGTTTTTGGTCTCAACGTTTCGACTAGCCTGAAATATAAGGTTTAACATTGAAGATGCATTTCCCGTACTATTTGCGAGTTTCACCTTGATAAATATATTTCTTTTTACATTGCTATATTCCTAGCAATATAATTATAACGACCCTGTAGTATTTACTTATAATTTCCGCAGACAATGAAGATGGTAGCTTTCACGTTATAAGCCAAGGGTGAACTTAGATTATTTCAGAATCTTAACTTTGATATTAGGCCAAAATGAAAATACTTCTGCTTCCGATTACATGGCATTTGAAAGTAGGGTAGGTAGGTAGGGAATTATTTTTTTTTTAGGCAAATTTTTTTTGTGTACGATCACATGGAGGCTTCTGCATGTAGTCAAGGGTAGGTAGAAATTGATGGTTTTGCCGGGTGTTATTTTCTCATTTTTCCAATAACAAAATTAGGGTAGGGGCTGTCAGAATAGGGTCGGTAGGGAAACCGGAAGCAGAACTTTTTTTTTTTTTTTGGCCTTATCGGGTACATGAACCAAGAACACGTTTCTGGGTGAAATTTAACTGCAAGTTCATAATCCACTGCATGGAGAGATGTGCTTACTTGTAGAGATTAGACCACATTTTTCCAGGGACGGTAAACCCTCCATCAAACTGCATGTCTTCTGGTTCAGAGTCGCTGTCCACTACCCCTTGCTCAATACGACGCTGCTTCTTGAGCAACTCAGAACGGCGATGCTCCCTGGAAAAACATATGAGTCAGGAATTTAACAATAATAAAAGGGGAACTAGGTCCTGAAATCCCGAAAATTTTATGTTTTGGATTGTTTACTTAGCCTATTTCAAACATCTGGTTGAAAGGAAACCAACCTAATGTCTTACCGTTCCCAAGAAAAGACAAAAAAGGCCGCTTGTTTACATCGGACATGACGGAGTACGAATACGTTTTTCGTGTCGTTCTCAGTGTACCATATACAGGTTGTGTGTCTCGGGAACAGCGGTGGCCAATCACCAATGCGAAAAAAAGTGGTTTCTTCAACGTCCGCAAAAGGCGAACACTATACGCATGAAATCACAACTAGCATCCAAACAGCTCGAATTTATGGGCTCGCAAAAGTGGACCCCGAAATTCGTTCTCGCACGCATAATACAGGAATAACACAAAAACGCCCAGTTTTAAAAGGATAGTTGTGTGGATGTTTATATCCTACTTTCAAATGTTATTTCCGATTCACATCATCTCATTCAAAGCGCGTTTTGTAGCCCAATTGGGCTGTTCCAGGACCTAGTGTCCCTTTAATCCAAAAACAAAAACACCCCAAAATCATCATGCAAAGATGAAACAAGCTTGTGCACTTTCAAAATATTGTGCGTACTTGGGTTGTGCATTGGAAGCGGGTACCTTAGTATTCCTGACTGATGTCAGGAACCGGTTCCAGGCTATGGGATCGGGTACCCGTAACCAACTTTACATATTACTAAGTAACTTCTCAGACAATGAAAAAGAAAGGTTTTGAATGTCATTTGTGGAGATTTTTCTAAATGAAAACCAGGCTACTGGAAAAAGGTACATGGTGTTGACGCACTGATGTGGTAGAATGATTGTTTGGCTCTTTATGAACAATCTGAATGGCAACTTCCGAGATTAGAATTGTGGGGTTGGGTTTCTTTAATGGGTACCCGGATACCTGGTTTTTTTTCATATCAGGTATCCGATTCCGGTGCTATCCGTAAATGCACTTCGCTAGAACGTACTTCACGCCATACGCAGTCGAACCAGTGCCTACATCAGAGTTACAAGCATACGACGGGTCACAGACTCCCACCTTGTGGTTCTGGAACGCTCAAAATAAATTTTGTCAAAATGTTCCAAGACTTGTTTTAAAACTTGGCAGGGCAAGGAACACCCCAAAGTAATCTAGACTAGTAAATGTGTGCCGTGTGCTTATGTGCTGTGGTACATGGGTTCAAATCCTGACCGTGGGAACATGGTGCTTGTGCTCTTGAGGAAGGCACTTTACCATTATTGCTAAAGCCGTAGGTCCCATGTGTTGTGTAGTGCACGTTAAAGAACCCAGTAACACTTATCGCTAAGAGAAGGGGTTTGCCCCGGTGTTTCTGGCAGTGGCTGCAATATGCGCCGCAGCACCTTGTCAACCCTTATAAGGTGCAACATAATGGGTCTCATATTTCTCATATACTTTATTTACCTTTCTTTAATAACAGACATAATCTCCAGCGCCTTGAGTACCTAATTGTTGGTAGATACTTGCGCTATATAAGACTGCATTATCATTATTAAATGCTTTCTGTGCCTGGCAAATTTAGAGGAACCTGGTGGCTGATTCATATAGGACCCTCATGCATACATTGGGCCTTGATGCTTAGTACTTACTTCAGCCTGCGGTAGTACATATCCTGAGTGGCGTCATCCTTGCACTTGGACTTGCGGTGGCTGCTGGAGCGTTTGACATTGACACCGTATGCTCTCTTCAGATCATCCAGACAGGCAATAGTGCCGTCCTCAAAATCCTCCGTAGATACCTTGGGCTTACGGCCGCGGTTATTGGCCTTCTTCTGGAGTGGGGAGCTGTATTCATCATCTGAGCGATACGGGAATGAAGTGTTGTTACAATCAAGGCATTCAGACATGCCTGAAACTTATTTCAAGGAATGGCGAGCTTTTCTGTGATGTGATTTGGGCGTTCACTGGTATGGATAGCACACATAATCTATTAACTGGTCCTGTTGTGCTGGCCGTGTTCGCTAGTTTGTGATATTTTTTTTAACCATTACCCGAACACCCCAAGTACCAGTGCAACGTGTGAATCAAGCAAAAGGAAGAGAGATATCATGGTACAATTCTGTTTGTTTTTGAACAATTTTTAGTCCTTAATGCAGTCAAAGATGGTCAGAAAAATGTCACCATCCAGTTTTGGAAGTTATTGACATTACTTGCATTTTTTTATTTAAAAAACAACAAGTAATAGTAATAATAATAATGGGTATTTATAAAGTGCACGCATCCACCGTTATTGGTGCTGAAGGCACTACATCATTATTAGGCCAAAAAAAAAATTAGTCGGTCTCTGGTCAGCACACGCGTCGATTTTAAACATGCGCGTCGATCTTTTTTTTTTCCCAAAATGTTCCGCACCTCTATTTCCGCACCTCCTCAATTTTTTTTTACCAAAGAGCACCAAGGAATGGGAAATTGCACCAAGGCAAATGATCGAAAGCACCAAGGCAAATTATGGAGGACACCAATGTACATGAGGACACCAACAAAGCAAAATCCACGTGGCCGCGTCAATTCCGGAACTTTGGTCTGACCAGAGACCGAATTTTTTTTTTTTGGCCTTACCCTGCTCAAGTACACCACAAAGGGAGATGACCATGTGCATTGTAATAATTTTTGAAAGTCCAACAAAGAACTTGGCTGGAGTGGGGTTTGAATCTGCGACCTCTGTATTGCCTTTTCGGTGCTCAACCAACTGTGCCATCCAGCATTATGCTGGCGCAGGTTCCCCATTTTGTCAATGTCTTTGTTCAAGGGGTGCTAGTCAGAAGCCAAAAATTGTATGTGCAATGTAGCCAGGGATCACGCCCAAAGACCTGGGAATTAGCAAACGGGGATCACTCAAAGGATACGGCTTAGGGTTCACTTCAGCTATAACCTGCATGCTGAGTTAAATGGAAAGTAGAATATGGAATGTTCAGGTATAAATGAAAAACTATCAGGCAAACACTGCTAATGTGACATTACGATACTTTTCCGTAATTAAACTCTTACATACATACATGTATCTGCTGAATGATTAAGTGACTACATTTTTCTACTTTTAGTAATTTTCAAATCCTTTACTTCAAAATTTTCCAGCATGAAATCTACATTACTGTCTGAAGAACACAAGAGAGCTCCAGTGTATGCACTGATGCACAAGCGAATAGTCTGATGAAGTACACAATACTGTACCTTCGTCCGATGGCTGTGAGAAGTCGTCAAACCCCGGCGTGTAATCCTCGTCACTTCCCGCGCTGTCCTCGCAGTAGTCGCTCATTTCTTCGTCGCTCCCCCAGTGAGGACGCAGGTCCCTGGCCTTTCTCCGTCTCTTGTGAGCCTTCGGGTAGCTTGAGGACTCGCTTCGGACGGGCTTGTAGACGAAATACGTACCATCGTCCGACGAGTCACTTGCGGCTCCCTCCTTCCTCTGGCTGGAGTCCTTCACGGATTTCTTCTTGGCGACTTCCGGTTTGTGCTTCCTAGATTTTTCCTTAACTTTTTTCCCTTCAGTTTTGCTGGACGCTTTGGTCTTGGATGAAAACATCTTTCCACTTGATTGCCCTGCTTGAGTTTTCTTCTCTGAGCTCGTCGGCACGACGGATTCCGGTTTGGATTTGATGGGCGTCTTTTTCCGCACCACGACCTTCTTGCGTCTTGTCATGTCCTCCTCGGTTTTCTGCACCATAAACTTCTCAAAGTCAGTCATAGGCCTTGGGGCGGGTTTCGCCGTTGATGTGGTCGCCTTGCTTGTCGAGGCCTTTGATTGGACCGTTGATCCGAAGGGGGTCATCTCGCCGAGTCGGATCAGACGTTCTTGCTCCGTCTCCTCCGGCGCAATGGATGGAATACCGTCAGAGGATGGACTGCTGCACAGAAAATGCTGGTATGTTTCTACATTCCTTTCTTCATCATCTATGGAACGAAGGATCAAAATATTCAAGCACTGTGATTATTTAGCTTGATTTCTGACAATAAACCTACAGGTGAAAACCTAAACCATACTGGACTTTCATTCTCCTGGCATATGGAACACAGATGCACTGCCACAGCTCCCAACATTCAGATTTCAGAAAGAGTACTTTTCATTGAGCCGCTATTTATTGTTCGGCATGTCACCATTTAAACAAAAAGGTAGTAAAAAATTCCAAACATCACACTGGCATTATCAGCGCCGAATGATACACAGCTTGTCCATTTGATATTTCGCCTTGCAATATCTTGATCGAGAGCCTAAAATATCTTCAAGGCAGTGGATTGATGGCATTGGACTATATCGTCAATGTCATTGCTTCCATCAGTTGCCAAAAATTGTCAATTTGAAGAACAAAATCCTAGAAGCGTAAAATGGGTGCAAAACTGTAAAAAGTACGTCAAAATCGTACATGTTGGGAGCTCTGCACTGCATGTGCTTGTGGAATAACTAGTAAAAGTACAAGTTGCGGGTAAGTTGGTGTGGTATCTTTAGGTGTAAAGTGAAACGGATAGACCATCTTCCTCACCTCCGTCATCTTCTGAGACCTGCGGAGCAACGTCTGAACCGCTCAGCTTGGCAAGCAGTGATCGCTGACGAGCACGCAGTGTCTTCAGCTGCTTTGCCTAGGCAGGGATTTCAATAAACAAGTGACAGGTTCTGAGTTGATTCAGATGTATACGAGAGCTCCAATCTCATATCCTAGTGCAGTTTAAGAGTCAACTCCAGTTCCAATTCTTGTTTCCGGCAGGCACTTGAACACAGTCTGGGTAACTAAAGCCCTGAACTTGTTCAGCAAGTCAAAATGACCTGACAATAGCCATGATCGCATTGGACTTTTTTGGGGTTAAACTAATGGAGATTGTTGTAAACTTCCCAGAGACTGTTTTCAACTTAACTAAATTATTTCAGTGTGGACAGACAGCCGGTAAACTTCCCAAATTGTCAACTGTCAACCATCGATTTTAAGTTTTACGGTCTGCAGCAGTTGGTTTCACAGGGCCAGGGAAGAATAGCATTGTTAGTTTTACATTACTGAAAAGTTCCACTGCTTTGTAATTTAACTAACGTTATGATCACGAGACTTCCATGTGAGTCGCCTAAATTGGCCTCTGTAATTCACATGCCAAGGCCTACATGAGATTCTACCGTATTTTTGCTGTGTTCTGCGACATTATTTGGCGCTCTTTCCACAACCACGTCCAGTGCTAAGTTAACGGTAAAGAGCAGGACGTCCCAATGCGAATCTGGTAAAGTTTACGTACAAACAAATGACTTTCACCAGACCGAAATTAATCCAAGTGCGGATGTACGTTAGTATAACCACAATGGAATGTTAACAATCACTCACCTGAACTTTTTACGAAATTTAGTCCACTTCGAACGTGGTTTTGGACAAGTATGAACTTGGTCAAAAGTGTTTCAGAATAACCAAATTGAACAGATACTCCAAGCACATTTATTCTTTTACAGGGTGATGCAAAAATTAGTAAACTCTCTGATGAAAGGAATGTTACCCTACTTACTTAACTTATTTGAGCCATATTTTTTTTAATAATAAAGTATAGTTCTTTAATCATACATCTTGAAAAAAAATCTTTGAAAAATCGCAATAGTCTTATCATGCTACTTTGAGTCACAAAATCACTGTTGTCCACATGTAAGTCTAGTATAGTGTTTATTGTCTTCAAATTATAATCCGGAGCTCAGTCAAGTGGATGGAATAAAGCTGTCCATGGACAAACAGGTTTGGCACGTGAAATTTTAAACTACCACATCTCAGAGACAAAATATGCATAAAATTGCAATCACATTTTCGTCACTTATGTTTAAAGATCAATATTTTAATATCATTGAATTTGAATCCTTGAAAAATGCTGAACAAGTAGGTGAAAATTGCTGTCAAAAGTAGGTTTCCTTCTTTTTGCAACACCCTGTATGTGCAAATGCATGACTCGTTTTGATCTACATGTACCTTGTTGTCTCTCTTTGTGCGCATGGATATGATGTTCCTCTGTACCTCCTTCTGAGCAAACGTTACTGGAGACGTCAAGGACTTAGCGTTTGCAAGGGCAATTGCCCTATCCAGGTGGCCCAGTTCCTTCTTGCATGAACTGTACGTTAAGAAAGGAGAACAGAAAAAGGCTTCAAAACGTGCCCAGGAGTTTCACTAAGATTGTTTCATTTGGAATTCTTCTGTTTCTTTCGGAATGCTTTGTTGCAAAATGGAGCATTCTCATTGGGGACAAGCAGAGTTCCTAGTGTGTTTTCAATTGGTACACTTGATAAATCAAATAGTTAGGTAACTATATGATTTATCAAGTCATAAAAAATATGTATTAAATTTTATGATTAACTCCTTAACCCTAGCTGACCTGAATTCTTCAAATTCCTCTTTGCCAAAGTGGAGGAATTTGGAGGATTGAGGTTTTCATGGCAAAAGTGTGTTATTAATTTTGCAGGATGCACTTTGCCAAGGTCTTGGGCCGGACCTTGTATTGTTTTTACTCAGCCATGCATAAATACAGGCTTGGATTATGCTTGAAATCCTCCGTACTGCTCCAGGATGTCTCTGGCCAAGTCTGAACATACATGTATTGACAGTCACTGCCGCAGGATTTTGCAGGATTCAGGCAGTGGTCACCCCTCCACAGACCATATTCAAGAAATAATGGAGGAATTTGAAGGATTGAGGCTATATGCCATTTTTCCACGAGGCCAATTGGAGGATTTTGCAGGATTGAGGCTATATCCTAGCAAAAAGGCCTAGGGTGTTAGGGTTAACGCCGGCTGACGACTCTAGACGCAGATAAAACCCAATAAGCCGGGGGACTGCTATTGCTGCATTCCTGCTGCATAGCGCATCCATTCATAGACAATGTGCAGCTGTCCGTGGCCGAACAATACCGGCGTCAAGGGGTTAAAAGGTGGAGCTTTGACACATGAACATGTAGATCTTCGATGTAGATTACTTGTAACAAAGTAATGTTATATAAAACAGTAATCATATACAAATTGCTGCTCAACTACAGAACAAAACGTTGCGAGGAGTCTTCCTGTAGCAGCCCAATGGCACTTTCATATGTAAACTTTCAAGCAGCACCAAGACCCGAGTAAAAAGCAATAGTGGCTAGGTTGACGTTAGAAATCCTCCTCAATCCTCCATAGGTCTTTAAAATCTCGAAATAGATTTTAAAATATCTGTCAGGATTAGAGTTAACAAAATGAACTTTTTAAATACATGGACGACAAAAACAAAAAAATCCTACCGTATATCGGTCAGCACCCTGTCCAGATCCTTCTCAGCCCTCTCCCGGTCCACGGCCTTCTGTCGGACCGTGATGGCCTGGTCCACTTGCTCCATGACCCCTCTCTCAAACTCCTCCTGGTTGAAGACGCTGACCCCCTCCAGACCCTGAAGCTCCGTGGCTTGCAGCTGGCCGGGCACCGACGGGATCAGGCTGGTGTCCACGCTGAAGATGTCCTTCTTGCTTGTCGACGGCATGTCGCGGCTTCCAGATGCAATCACGCGACTGCTTTCACCAGCGGGGTGTTTTGTCCACGAGCTTGCAGTTGGCCTTGCGTGTTCAGAAGTTGATAGTTTGTCACTGACTGTTTTGACTGCCCGTGCTTTCTCACCGGATGGGGTTTTACTTGAGGGGCTTGTAGTTGGTACTCGGATTAACGAGCTTGCAGTTGGCGTCTCGTGATCAGAAGTTGACAGTCTATCATTAGTGGCAGTCTTGGGTGTCTGCATTTTTTCAGCAGAAACCATTGTACTTGAGGCACTTGTAGTTGGCGCTAGGATCGTTGAGCTTGCAGTTGGGGTCAAAACATCTGGAACACCGGGCTGGTCAACGGTGTCCATTTTCTGCACAGGTTCCTCTTCTTGTTCCCTTTGGTCAAAACCATTTCGTACATGTGCTGGTAGACCAATATCTGAAAGATGTAAAAGTTATGAAAGTAATATAATCACAGTTAATTTGAATAGGCGTGGCACGGTTCATAGTCCTAATTTCTTATCTCAGGAAGCCACAGATTCAAACTAAAGAACACAGAACTGCAGCCCACCAGCCTGTGAAAGCTAATACAAAAGGAAAATCACTGATAATAATTTCATGAACTTTGGCATCGTTAGGTCTCAAAGTTACTTAAGGCCAAATACAAAAATAAAGCAGTTTCTCCTTCCCGCCCACTTCCCTTTTCCCGTCCGCCTCCTTTGTTTTTTTTTTAAATTCATACATTTGCAATATTTTTATTTGCAAATTTGGTCAGTATACTGTCTTTTTATTTGTTTCCAACAAAATTGTAGCAATGTAGAAAGGGAGACGGCTCTTTTGGACACAATTGTGTATCAGCAGAAGAGTTAAGAAAATGGAATCTATCATCCATCGACGATCGTCTTGGAAAATCAGCTATCTTGGGGAAAAAGGGGGCGATCATGTAGTGTAGGGCCCCTGTTTTGTTTTGATCAAATTAGAGTCAAAAAATGTTTTTTTTATTGCTCAAAAATCACCTTTAAAATAAAAAGCAGACTTCGAATGACACCTGTTTTGCAATTTTGAACAGTTTCTTGGGGTAGAATTCACGATTTTCCTGCGCGGTTTGTGCCTTGCGATTCAGCGTGCCGTGCGTGCTCATGGTACATCGCCCGCAGTCATGGCAGTGTTTCGCCATCTTTATTTTCAGGTTGCGTGTTGTCGTAGCACTGTCATCGTCATTTTACCCCCAAATTTCCCTCAAAAAATCAAAACCCTGCCCTCTTTCTATGACATACCTGTTCATTGAGAATGTCGCTGTTACGCCCCAACAATCGCATTAGTTAGGACTGGAGTTGCGCCGGATGCTTCATGCTTGATAGATCTTGTTGGATTAAATGTTCCGCGGCGCTGGAACCGTGTATTCGTCGTGCATGCATGCCGCAAGGCTGGCCAGTCACGTGGTACTGCCTAGTTGGATGAGTTGTCCAGCTGCTGGGTTTTATTGTCCAGCAACATTTTGCAAAATTCAAAGATTGCCATGGCCGGCCAACTATAGATGGGCCCCACCCATAGCTAATGTCAAAGGTCCCAAGTAAAGTCGGACATGTAACAGAGCTGTAGGGAATGTTTTATAGTCGTACATCAATGTAAACTATAGTTGGGACCGCCAAATAAAAATATTGCGGTGGCCCAACTACAGATGGTCCCCACCCAGATTATTTCATTGGTCCAAAGTAAAGTCAGATGTGTATTAGAGTTGTACGGGATGTTTTATAATCGTACAACAATGTACACTATAGTTGGAACCGCAAAATAAAAAGATTGGGGTGGCCCAACTATAGATTCGCCCCATCAATAGCTAATTTCAGTGGTCCCCAGTAAAGTCAGACGTGTATCAGAGTTGTAGGGAACGTTTTATAGTTGTACATCAATGTAAACTATAGTTGGGACACCGCAAAATAAAAGGATCGGAGTGGCCCAACTATAGATGGGCCAGCCCAACAGTGGAACTTACAGTTGGGACCGTCCCAACTATAGTTGGGACAGGCCTAACTATAGTTGGGCCAGCCCAACTGTGGAACTACAGTTGGGACAGGCCCAACTATAGTTGGGACCAATGCGATAGTTGGGGCGTAACATCGCCAACTAGTTTGGTCAGTCTAATAATCTTGAAGTGCATTTTGTTCCCTACACTACACGATCGCCAAGATATGACTGCCAAGACTTAACCAATGCAGCAGTATAATCGCCCACATTTTGGGCATACAACTTGGTAGTTCATTTATTAGTATACTGTACATGTACTTCACCTTGCCTGCTGCAGGACTGGTCCATCTCTGCACTACTGGAAGCAACGTGTGATGTCTTATTGGTACACGTGCTGCCGCTTTCTTCAGCTGCTACTGGAGATGATGAAGCCATACTTGCCGATGTAGACAACAAGAAATGTTATCAGCTATGGGAACCACGAACCAAGTCTCAATATCTTTCATCAGTGTCTGTCAAAGGCAGAAGAATATATGAAGAAGATATGTTAGGCTAATATGTCATTTAATATGACCAGATGATTGTGCAATTGTGACCATGTATTTAACTCAAATTAATTAGCCTACGCATGTTTCAGTTGTGTGTTGTACAACAGCCAACAGGCCTTTAGAATCTTGTTGAACAAAATCTAAAAATGTATCTAAAATCTATCTGAAATCTAAGTGTTCAATAATGGAACACAAGAAAAGCTGGTTGATAACGTAGAGTTTCAATGATCCTCTTTACCAATAATTAAAGAACATGAAAAATGTATTTCAGAATGAGTAGGCCTACCGGTACATTTTTTTATTTTGTTAGAAAATTGAATGTAAAATAAAATTCACGCTCACAGCACCTAGTAGATTTCCACTTTGGGAAGAATTCCATATATGGACATCACTAACTTTCCCCTGCATGCAGTGACCTATCATCAGCCATCAGAAAGCGATAACATGTCCTAAAAAGTCAAATTTACCAGGGAAAATTTTGAAGCATTTACTGAGAAAACACTGGGAATATTTCAGACCAGTCTCATAGGGTTTGTGCACACTAGTTATTTCAGGCTTTGTACAATTTATAAACATGGAGAAAGCTTCGTCCATGGTACAAACATGACAAAAGGAACTAGGCGGAGTAGGCCTATGCAGACATGTTGGAACGTGGAACCGAGTGGTCGACCGGCAGACACATATTTATTTCCGACAATATCCTAACTAAGGAAGATATTCCTTCTTATTTTTAACTTAATGATATTCAGGTCCCAAACCTTATTTTCATGATGCTCGTGATCTCGCTTTCACCACGAGTTCTGAAAAAGCTGAAAACACGGTGCTTAAAGTGTTACATGACCGTCGACGATTGCATTCGATTGTGACATAGCAAAGGTAGTTTCATGAAGAGCGCCACCAAGTGGTCAAAGCAATTCAGTCCCATAGACACTAGTGATAAGTCCCAATACTTCAACACTCTTTTAAAAATACTCAAAACTCTCACAGGTGTTCAGGTTGCACAGAAAATGATGATCAACTTGTCATCTTTTTCTTTAAAATTTTTGGTGGGCTGACCATTGACTTTTCGAGAAATGTTCACCCAGCAATATTTTAAAAAGTACTAATGTGCGTTTTACGAAAACAGTGCAAGATATATTTTAGGCCTAAATTTGCAAAATGGTATTCAAAAAATTGAAACCAAGTGTGCGAAATTTGGCCCAAATGATGACCACTTATGTTTTCGTAAAGCCCCCTTGTCTACCAATTTAGTTTTCTTACAAGACAAGCAACGAACCTATAGCCTATGCCTACGTGATGAGTAAAAAATCTATATAACTCGCCTTAGTTTCACAAATAATAGACCTATTGATAAAATAATTCTAAAATGCGACCGTAGCTATATAGCTTCGCACTATATTTTATTTCAAAAGTTCATCGTAAATTACTGATTTTTATCTTTGTTAATCCGACAAATATACATGTAATGTGCATATTTCATATCGCTGTCATTTCACCTATGGCATCACTTTTAATCAGAACATGAATGTTTCTACTTATGACAGGATATAGACTATGATTCAGCCAGGCCGCAGGAACCGAATTTCCTCCGTCGGGAGATGCATGGCCCGTGACGTGTTTCCGGTGTACGTGAGATCTTAGGGAGCACTCGCAGTATGTAGTGCGTGAATAATTGAAGTTGTGTTCCCCGTTCAGTCTAAATGTTTCCCCTCTTGTTTTCCTATTTTGGACGTCAGCAAACATCTAGGTAAAAAAAAATGTTTTAGGCAAACAGATCCACTTTGCGTATGCAAGCAGACTGGCTCCCGGTCCCCGGTCCGTACATTATCATGGGCGTCGCCAGGTTTTTTCTAGGTGGCCGGGTGGGTGGGGGGGGGGGGGGGGGGGGGCAAGCACATTTCCCCTGACAATCTTTGTACTTTCTGTAGCATATTCTCAATTTATCATTTTTTTTCGAGGGTGGGCGGGGGACATCTACCCACCCCACCCCCATTAATAGCAATATGACCTCACACCTCTTTTTTTTTTTTTGACTGTTTTTTCGGGGCCCAGGGGAAGCGCCCCCCCCCCTTGCCCCTTCCTGGCGACGCCCATGTACATGATCGATACTGATTGTGTGACGGGAACCAGCCTCCCCCGTGAGAACGGGGCCTCATTGTCTGGCAGCCGATGATTCGAAAATGTAATAAAGTAATAATTCCATAATTAAACATCGCCGATTCTTTGTTCGGTCGATGTCTCATTCCAAAGAGAATAACTTTTGTATTGCTGGAAAAAAAAATAGCAATTTAGAAAATAAATCTATTTTTCGGACTGAAAGTCTAAAATAGCATGGGGAAGACATCTTTAAGTATTCTCAATAAATGCAAATGTTGCAAGACTTAGACTATAGCCGATGGATCACTTTAGTCATATTGTCTGAGGCAGTCTTTTCATCCCCCCCATCTCGTACCTAGTACGAATAAAGACAATCACACACTATCGTGTCCGTAAGAAAGACACTTTTCTTCAATCATTGTAGGCAGGAACCACCTACAATGGTTTAGTCATATTCCAAAGTGCAATTTCGGGTGTTGTTTTTTTATTAAGTTGTATTTTAGCAACCATCCACTTTTCTAAGGGGAGGGGGGTGTTTGTTTTAGATATATATTTTTGTGGTGAGTTTTGATATTGTGTAGTGTTGTTTGCTCTTGTATTTATCTTAATATATTTTATTGTTGTTAGTAACTTGTGGTGTCTTGTGTATGTGTATAACATGTTTATTTTTCTGAGGACGTATTTCAATTTTGTTATGGAATGTTACCCTGTCTTTTACCCTGAATTTTACCCTGTCTTTTTTTTCATTGTAAAAATTGATGCAATTTAGCCTTTGGCTACAAGTTCAATTTGAATAAACCAATAATAATAATAATAATTTAATTGGATATCACCCGGACACAGCTACTGGATTAAGACTGTTTTTGTTTAATTAAATTTTTTTTTATTTTATAAAAGTCCATAAGAAAAGTAGAGAAGTTGATGAACCTACAAACTGAGAATAATAGTTCCACAGCTACAGGTTGTAAAAAAATTTAAATGATCAGCGGGGATTTATTAAGTGGATGCTTAAAAACGACGTCATGATTGCAATTAAACCTGATCAAATACGACAACAGATCCACCTCTTCAAGAGCTTTATAGGATGTGAAAAAGTTGTAATAAATAATGCCACTTTTTATTAGAAGTTACAATTTTTTTTTAAAGACACTTCACGCATGTTTGTACAATGCAAAAACAAAATATTCGACCGCGATATATTATGGTCAATAGGAACTATTGAGCATAAAAAATGTACGTGTGCCATATCGTTTCCGAGATCTATTTCAGATCTATATCTGTCAGGCTTACAAGTCCTATACAACCACGGTAATACATTATTAACGTCTTGTATAAGATGCGTCCTACTTCTTTAGATAATGAGTAATCTTGCATGATTGATAGGGTGCTTCTTCAAGAAAAGAAGAGTATACACTAATACTACTTTAAGCAGATACCCCGTCCTAGTTTATAGGATTCAGATTATAATGGCATCGAGGGACGATTCAGATCAGCTATTGATAAAATTGGCTTGAAAATCCATCTGCTATAGTAAGCAGCTGTGTTCGTCATTATGATGATTCTCTGCATCCGCACCCACTTGCATTCGTTGCTAATGCATCTCCGTGCGGAGACGTATACGTACGAGCGCACGCATCACCAGTTTAGACTAAACTTGTGCACGTCGTGTCTAGCTATTCAAAAAATATCCAATCCGAAAGTTCAGTTATCGAAAATATTACGGAAATGCTATATTTATCCCTTGAGGTATCTGTCTATTTTGCTATATCTTTTGACATAACAAAATAAATTGTGCACTTAGGTATTTTGCTAAGCAGCATTAGGAATAGCTTTCAGAGACTGGAACAAGTCTAGCAATTGATGTATGACGACTAACGTTGTTAGAGGCGATAGCATGGAACTCTCAACACTCGGGCCATAGCTCCATGGTACACCTACTTGTTGTATCCTACTAGCTTGATGATTTTTATGCATGATGTGCGGTCTGCGAGTCACTCCCAGCCGTCCATATAAATGAGGACCATGCAGTCATTTCAAGCGGGAAATAAGTGAGTTTGCAGACGACAAGGAAAGGTAAGGTGAACCATGGAGCTGTGTTTATAGCTCCATGGGTGAACTAGGCTTACTATCAGCGGGAACATTAATCGGGGAGATTCAAGTATACACGGAGCAATTGTAAGGTACATATTGTTATTGAAACAAGATGTGGCAAGGGGTAAAATATAAAACCAAAGCCCATTTTTATATAGATCGCTTGCATTGCAGCCGTCTTGGAGGTGGTGTGTGTTTTTGTTCAACAGTGATACGCATGAGCACTCGGACATCTTGCGAATTCATTGTTAATGAATAAACATAACAGAACACTGTATTAAGATAGCTGCTGAACTTGATCAATCTACGGTACAACTGAACGCTATTCTATTAACAATTCTAATAAAGGTATGGCGAGTTTGAAAAACAGAATTATGAAACTGGTCATGTTTTAACAGTTAAGAAGTGATATTGCATATAAAATGTTGTGCGTTACGTCCCCTATGCCTTCGTATGTGTTCTTGCCAAAAACGGATTATTGTTAATTGTTAAATGAGTAAACCCAACAATTCCTCATATCAAAGAAATACTCGAAAATACACGAGAGCCCATTCAATCCATGCATGTTTTGATATGTGGAACTTAACGGCTATGTACCTAAGCAATAACGTGTTCCATCATCTCCCAGTAGACCGGGCATTAGTATCTCACGACTCGTGACAAGCAAGCTGAAACCATGCGTGTTAAATAGAGCGCTAAACCTGTCGCCTTGCGTGGAAATTATGTATGAGAATAATGATTATTCCTTGACTACGGGCGGCAACATCTTATCAACGTTCAGTCAGTGTACACACACGCGCGAAATGCCTTGCATGCATGCTCCGCTCTCCAGACAATCATAACGATGCCATTTCTCATTAAATTGTATGCATTGCGTGTGAAAATGCAAAATCAACAATCAAGCGTGATGGAGAATAAATGGGGCACACAATTTCACATAAATATTTATGAGAAAATGTCAGCGTCTTACAAAATTGCTAAGGAATTGCGGTATTTTTTTTTCATTTATAAATAGTTTATTGCATTAGATGCTGGAATTTGTCTCAGTAAATAATTCTTTCCATAAGCGGGTAAAGGTACGCACACTGTCAGCACAAGATACGTTTTCCATTAGTGTTCAGAACCCAAATGTCTTTTCAACAACCTGTGACCGCCTTCAGCGTATATCCCAAGCGTTCAGTAGTCCATTTACAAAGCTGAAATTTCCCACACGACGAGAGTTATTTTCATATTTACCTTAAGGCACCAAATTCCTTTTTGTGTTTCTGTCGCAGTGAAACGTCTTAGGAGACATCCCTCTAAGTTAAGTGAGAGCGCCTGTTGCGATGTCTTTTGGAAATCATCCGCACAAATAATGCTCCACACGAGACGTTTTTCATATGGGAATAAAGGAGGATTTCTATTGAGTTAATGGTCTCCGCCGTTAGAACTTGAAGAAGTGAAAGGAATTTCTGTCACTTTCAGAAAACACAAAGATCAATTGAATTTTCGACTTCAATCATTCAATCAAACTCTATAGGGTGATTAAAAAAAAAAGGAAACCCAAACGGCAGGACCAATTATTTAATGAAGTTCTGCATGTAGCACTTTCAAAATCTAGGATATGAGAGCCCAACTAATATGCTTTTTTTTAGTACAAGAATCATTCAAAACACTCATATATACTTTTCAAGTTATACGGAATTTTATACACAAACACATAGTTTTAAGGTTCTGTCCACGGATCACAAAAATGGTAAGAGCTCTTTCAGCAAAAACGAAAACAATTCACAAAGGAATGTGTGTGACATTTGGGTTTCCTTATCCCACCCTGTATTTCACCGTAGAGATTACTCCCATTATACACCCTATTCCAGAAGAAGCTTTAAACGAGGCCGATGAACGCAAGTGGACCATCTGTGGGTGGACCCATCACCCTGAATGCATATTAAACTTTTAAATGACGTCAGTAAAGAACACGACTTAATATTTAAAAAATATATGTAATTTAAAGTCAAGTCTGGCCACTTTAAAAAGTGTGAGATGGTGTGCCATGAATCATGACGTACAAATTGAAATTCTTGAGCTGTCGGCCGGTGCTAAATAATTTCGGGTAATGTGGTCGTATAGAATATGTACGAAGAATCTCAAACAATTAAAGCTAAAGCTGTATAGAAATCATAAATTGATACATCTGCAGGACTATACTAAACAGATACATGTACATACAACACCCGATTACCCATACAAGTTGCGCATTAGCTGTTGCGACGAGACATAATGTTAGTCACCTGCAGTCTCATTCAGTGCATTTCCACATAAGAAACGCGAAATCATGAGTCATTGTAGGATCGCGCTATGAAGCCACAATTCATAATAATGCAAAAACGGGCCACGGGTTCGTCTGGTGACCCGAGAACGCAAGCCGGCGCTGTCGGGCTCCGTCTGGTCATAGCAAAGTAACTCAATACGCAGAACGCTAGGAATCTTGAACACAATATGTCGTAGTATAGCAACGGCTTATACGCGTGGAAAAAAAATACAAGTAGGCCTAGCCTATAGGCCTTGGCCTACCCGCAAAATTGCAAAAAAACATTCATCGATGGTTTATATTATATCATGGGTCCAAACACAAGTAGGGCGATAAGTGCACAAATACGGATTTATTAAAAAATATATATAGCCACTTTAAGTGGGGCAGGTCGGCATTGGCGCGCTGAAACACCTGCCACATTGAGTACATTAATAGACGGAGATTAAACCACGAGCAACGGATCGAAGCCTTGAATGGCAAAACGCCGAATGGAACGTGTTGACCGTGGTGGTTGTTCGAAATGTCACCGCATAAGCTTAAAAAAAAAACTTTCTCCGTTCGGAAACGGGACATGCGGACGGAACGGGTATACTAGAGGAAAGCAAGATTTGATGTGGTATTTCTGATACAGCTTTCAACATTTTAGTCCAGATTGCAAAATTCAATTTTTAGGATCATATGGGGGAGAGCGACCTGTCACGTGCGAGGGATTAACCAATAATAGGGAAAAGGGGTCCGATTTTCATAGGAGTCGGGTTTTCATATATGACACCGGGTCACCTCAGCAGTCAACAGTCAACCTATATCTCAACTACTCGGGCTCTTTATGCGGAATCGCAATATCAAACCGAGGCTGCACTGTAAAACAAAAGAGAGACTCTCTACGCCGTTACTACAAAAGAACAATTTCAACTGGCCGAAAGTTCCCATTGCTGCCATGGCCTCTATTTCGATACAACCGTCCAGATATACATTTAACAGGACCCATGCAGTAAGTCCTATACATACTGCTTTATCTGGTAGTTTCTTGCACTCTGTGAACATGTAAAAACAACATTCAAAATCTTAAGAAGGATGCAGAACATCTAACTTGCTAACGAAGGTAAAGAAAACCAACAAATGATTTTTTTCTCTCAAATGATAACCCACCGATCGTATCCTCACTTTGAGCAAATATTTTCTGGTATAGGTATAGATACGTGTCTGGTGACTGGTCAATTGCAAATGTTCCTACTAGTGTCCGTATTTTCACATGAAGACAAAGCGAATTTCCTTTGGATGTGTTTGAAATATTCTCCTTTGTATTTTCCCGCTAGTATGGCAGCCTTTGGCGACCCAGTCCCCGATATGGACCCATCGGATGAATGCACGAGATTGAGGACAGGCTATCTAGACCAACTCAACCTGGACAACGGCAAAGTCAGAAAGGTATTAACAATACACTGGGCCGGGTGCGTTGCACTTAACGCGAACTTATGCGAATGTTTGTCAACGTTTGCGCGAGTGGGACCGACTGTTTGCAACCAACGTTTGCGAACGCTAGCAACCAAGGCGAACGGTCTTCCTAGCCTGAGTCAGTGACTATGTTTTCCAAAATGGTTGAGACACACAATGAGCGTAATGATCTGATCGGGTTGAAAAATGTCGGCAATGTTTCTGCACAGAGTTCATATTCATTGTGTAACATTTTGCATGTGTAACATTATCGTTCCATATGGGGTTGGTGTACGTATACGCAGGGCCAAGATAACGAACGAAAACACGTTCGCGTGACTGGGACGAACTCTTGAATATCGTGTTCATTTGTGAGAGGGGACAACAAGATGCAGGATGTGGGTTGGGGCACAGGGCCAGACTTTGGATGTTTTCATATTGATGTTTTACAAATACTGAATTTGTTTGTTTGGTTCTGTTTTACAATAATATTTTTTTACGTGTCAAGACACTCGAGGGAGATGGCATGCACACTCCATAACCCGAAATTTATCAGACTTGTTAGCTCCCGGATCAGGTAGCATTCAGTTTTCAAAATGAAAGTGAACAACGCTCCACTGGTCAGTGATTTGTTTTTATTCTCCCACATGGATTTTTTCTTTTCTCAGAGATGGGTGGTATTTCAAGGGAATCAACAATCCGGTAAGATCTGGTTCTTGTAATAGATTCAAAAGTTCGTGTCACGGTCCATCCCACATTCTTCATGCACAATTTTTTTATGGGCAATTTTTTTTTCATGCACTCCCTGTTGTAGTTATGATTTATTTGATCATCATTCACCATGGCAATCTGTAACTGTTGTTTGCTTAATATTTATCTGGTTCGGCATCATAGCAGTTCATGTAAGGACGCTGTCTCGTCGATCGTAAACACCAACCTTTTCTTATTTGGGGTGTCATCACAAGCTGACATGGGCAAGGGCGTCAATCGCTTTTCAAAAGAGGGGGGGGGGGTATACCTTGATCAAAACTATAATGCGAGCGCGAAGTGCGAAGCCTAACGGCGTGGGCTTTGATTCTAGATGCTCTGAGGTGCGAACTGAGGCAATTTCTGACCACTGTGACCAATTTTGTTTTAGCAAATGATCATCATTTAAACATCATTTTCGAGTTTGGAGTCATTGAATCAGCTATTTTGAGCTAAAGATAATTATGATACCCCCAACTTTAAAAAGTGGGGTTGACTTGTCCCCCGGTCCCCCACCGATTGACGCCCATGGGCCCATGGGTAAATTTGAAAAAGTTTTCAAAAGCGCCTTCTCTTGGGGCACTGCAAGTCTCTATACACAATTTGACTGGTAATGAGGTCACAAGATGGTCATATTTCCCTTAGCTTCGGCCTCGGGAAATAGGACCCTCTTGTGGTCACTTAAAGTCCCCCAGGGTGCATGGACGTGATGACGTCATTGCCAGTCAATATTATTAGATGTCATCACACTGATTCAGTATTAAAGTGACCGGGTTCAACACAATGCAAGATGCATGCCCACAGAATGCAAGTGATTTGATGATAACGGTAATCTACCCACAGTGATTTGCGTTTCCTGCACAATATTGCAACACCTATTAGAAATTCATTTCAGCGCCTCTTTAAATTGAAAACAAACATTGAATAGTACCAATGCCTTCCTCTAGGTCTCTTCCAGATGAAAATCTACAAGAACGACAAGGAGAAGCTCCTCAAGAGCTCCTACACCCTGACCAAGGAGACGCTGGTGGGCACCGAGCGAGGCGCGCTCCAGAAGCCCAAGAAGAAGCGCGAGAAGTCAGCCTACTGGGCCGTCATCCTGGTCACTGACACCGTGGTGTTTCAAGAACCTGCGATGTGGGACCAGGGCGGCATCGGCATGGAGCTGCGGTCCTGGGACACTGTGGTCAAGTCGTACTTTAGCAATGGTACGATCATGCATGATCACTACCCCCCCCACACACTTTTGATGATAATTTTCATAGTGCTTGAAATTTGACACATTTTTATAATAATATATTATACCTAACATTTAAGTTTAAAACTACCCGAATTTACCCCTGACAAATAAGTGGTGGCCATTCTCACAAAACACATTGTGTCTTGTTTTGTAGATCATGATTTTGGGTAGTTTTTGCATTATAGACCATTCTACGCTTGGTTGTCAAACTGCATTTTTGCCAACCACGGGTTGCAAAACTATGGAAGGTCCAACACTGCAAAAATGAAGAAGAGTTATTACAGATAACCAAAATATGATTTGGTCGTTGGAAATACAACATTTTCAACAAAGCTACTACAAGTACAACACAATTCCTAAACATTCCGTTTTACTTTGTATTGAGGGCGTTATGGGGACTTTGTTTGGAAAAATATGTTGCCATCCACGGCTTCAATTTATGTGCTTGTGGCAGCCCATATAAAATGGCGCCAATGTTTACAAAGAAAAGAAAGGTGCATTTGGTAAAGCATAATTACAAAGAAAAGAAAGGTGCATTTGGTAAAGCATAATCTAACTGATTACCAAATGACTTCATGGATTTCTGTGCACCGAACTGGACAATTCCGCAATACCATTAATATAGATTAGTTCCCGGTCCCGTCACTTAACATTCAATTTTCGGATGACATTGCGTCAGGAACCTGTGTGTGTCCATGCAGAGAAAATGACACCGTTTTCGTCTACACAAGAAACGACAATCACCACACCTCTAAAAACGCCACATTTGTTTTCTTAATCTTTCAGAGAGTTGGGTGGTGAAAACACTAAAAGGCTTCGTGGCACCCGAGTTCCAGATGACCCTTCACGTTACCCGTCATGCATTGAGCCTGGTCACCATGAACCCACCCAAGTGCTGCAAGCGATTGGAACTGTCGAGAATCTCCGACTATTGGTCCAGGGACGGCATATTCTACTTTAAGGTGGATGTTGCGTCCAGTGCCGAAGCAGGTATTTTAACAAGATAGGAAAAAAGAGATCGTTCATTGTAAAATGTAAAAAGGAAAGGACGCATTATGCCTATTTACTGTTTTCACTATGTTACCATGATATTAATTGGAACAAAATCTGCGCTGTACTTTTCCTGTCTGTCGGTACCATAGGTTGGTAAAGTTGCATTGTAAACACGTTGGGCAAAATGGGTTGATATGTAGACCAACGTTGGTCAACATATCAACGGGTTAAACTCTTGGGCAAATTCTTCCCAATTGTTGGAAAATTTTGCCCAAATTGGGTAATTTCAAACCAATGTTGGGTAAAATTATATTGCCCAACAGTGTTTTACCCATTATTTTTTACAGTGTATCGTACTAATCCATTACAATTTGGTGAGCTCCCATTCGACACGGCAGAAAGTTGTAATCTCTTTGTTCAACTTTCCTCTTCAGATTTCGAAATGAAGGCGGAGTCGGAGTCCCACGCGAGACGCATCCGGCTGTGTTTAGACAGAGTGCTGGCACCGGTCGGCTTGCCGCCACTAGACCTTAGCTCCGATCGCCCACCGCTGCCCAGCGATAGGGCGCCATCTCCCGGTATGAAATTCAAACAAAGTTCGCTCAAACTCACCTGCATATTAGTTTTAAACCTTTGCCATGATTTTCGAATTCTGCATCATTGCACGAAAATTTACCTGCATTGATCACTGAGGCATGAGTTAGTTACCCAGAAGTATTTGTGTTTCCTTCTCAGTACTTTTTGAACCACTACCACGCTATGTCGAAAATAAAGTAGGCTCCAGGGACGAGGTTGTGATGGAGATTAGCCGTCACCAGCGCGCGCCTAGCGCCTGTAGGGTTCGAGAAAAGTAGTGTTGAAAACAGTTTGCAAATTCATTTTATTTATCATGCTTATTAAAGATTATACTGCTCAACTCTTCTTTGTCACTTTTCCCTCCGTATTCCCATTTAGAGAGGTACACTCCGTCTCCAACGCTTCAGAAGAAGTTCCCGACAATAGCGCCCTCACTGCTCGGCGGGGAAGAGCTATGATTTTTATTGGCCAGTGTAAATGACGGATGAACCAGTGGTCTTGATTGGAGAGATTGTTGTTTAACCTTATGACCGAGACACAAGATTGAGACAATGTGTGGAGGCAGAAACAGAGACCGACTAGGCATAATAGCTGGTATCCTGGTCTGATAACCAACTCCATGGTCATTCTAGGCCACATGATCTAAACAAGGGTACGTTCGAATGGCTACAGCTTGTATACGCATGCGCCTACGGAAGCGGTGAAAGTCACTTGCCATACACAGGTGTCTTACCGACGGCGCCCAAATTAAATTTGGACGCGGACTGACGAAACCTGTTTTCAACTTCTCGCTCATTAAATGTGTCCTGTCCTTGGCAACGGGGTAACCATGGTGCCATTATGCAGTTCTAGTGGAATGTTCATGTGGCCCTGTGACCCAAAGTGTCAACACTTGAAAATTTACACAAAATTACATAATAGCACAATGCATTGGACTGAGCTGGACGAAAGACCCTTCATCTACATACATAGCAGCTTTACGGACCAAGGCCACGTCTGAATTGGGGAATTTTGTGGCTACGACTTCGATTGGTTTCAAATCGGCGCGCATCCGGTGAACGGCCGTAGCCATAGCCATAGACAACAATGCCTATAATTGACACGAGCTACCCAACCGATCATAAACATTAACGACCGGGTGTTAAAGGTTATTTAATTGTTGATCAAAATATACTATTGCTTAATTATGGAAACGTTTATCGTCCATCAAAACATTATAATTCTTAACCATAATGGAACGTTTATCGATCAAAACATTATAATCCTTAATTATAATGGAAACGTTTATCGATCAAAATACAAGGGCAAACCACAAGGGAATGATAACCATCCACACTTGTTGTCTCTCCGTCTTAAATGCGGACTGCACTTTCCCTTTTCTGGTCACAACAACAACAGCCAGCTAGCAATGTCATGTCCCAGATAGAACGAGTGGGAAAAAAAGAAGCTAGAAAAGAGATTGTAGGTCCGTGAAATTCGCCCGTTATGGAAACGTTATCGAACAAAATAGTATAATTCTGAATTATAATGGAAACGTTTATTGTCGATCAAAATATTATAATTCTTAATTATAATGGAAAAGTTATCGAACAAAATATTACAATTCGTAATTATAATGGAAACGTTTATCGTCGATCAAAGTATTATAATTCTTAATTATAATGGAAACGTTTATTGTCGATCAAAATATTATAATTCTGAATTACAATGGAAACGTTACACTCTTAAATTTCAGTAAAGGAAAGAAAATGATCTGTCTAGTTGTGCATGTATAGCCTGAGGTATCGTCTGTAACAAAACTAAGTGCAATGTATTGTAAATAAATATATTAAATACTAAAAACCAAAATGCGTGACCTTGTTATTTTCATATTGGGTTGAAGAAGGCGTTTCTAGATCTTGAACTTCAGATCCAAAGTGTTGTCTTGACGTCATTTCCCCCCTTTTGTGGTTTATCCAAAATGTTTTCTTGACCAAGTCGTGGTGCAGGCAACATATTGAGGCCTTTATTTTAAAAACACCAGGTAAAGGATATGAGTCATTAATATTACATATTTTCAATAATTTCGATGTTTTATTTCCGTCGCTTTGGTTTCGATTTCATTGTTCTGTGGTTAAGCACATATTGCCGTTCATGTCTAGTCACACGTTCAAACTTAGTCTGAGTCATAAGGTCGGGTAAACCGCAACAATATTCTTCTGTTTTGATAAATTTCAAAAGATGAAACTTTAAAAAATATATACACTCAGATAAAAGGGCTGCATTTGGGAGACCCAACATTTCATTTCAATGCTATTACGTTACCAAGTTAAACGGATGTTACATTGCAACTTCCGTTTAGGAAAGTCCCAAATATATGCGGTTGTTAAATCCACGTGCATGACGTTATTATTTTTGGGCAGATGAATACAATTTGTTCCGTGCGGTTGCAAGCACTTTGCAGGAATCAAGGTCACCCCGTGTAGTCTGTGATGTTTTTCATTTTAACGGTTCGATAGTTTCGTGATACGGCTCCGTCAGAGACAGAATAACTGCGTGTTTCAGTACACGTTTACCTTCGGTAGACCTAAATATCGTTGTGGTACACCGGTACATATTTGTACTTTACTATAAGACTTCATAAGCAAGCGAATTCCCAAATCAGACTTCTACCTTCAAGTAACTGCGACTATTGGTGCGAATCCATACCAGTGATCTTGGACCAGTGTTAACCGAGCTTTGTCGAAGGGCTCAGTCGTGGTTCCGTACGGTATGATACCATTACCAGGCGACGGCGAGGAGGGTTGTACCGGCGGGTGCACGCGTATCCAGGACGGCTTCCTGACGCAACGCACTGCGAAAGGCAGCAAAAAGGTAGGTCGTACTGTTTTCCGTTGGAACTGTCTTTAAAACTGGCATCGACACACCGGAAGTTTGCCTAGATAGAAGGACCGTTTCAGACAGACAGTTATATATTCACGCGGTTACATTTTAACTTAATTCGGTTATAATATAGTTAATGAAGGGGAGTGTGGCCTGTAGCGGTTAGGGTTCGTGACTCATGATCAGAGGGTCAGGGGTTCAAATCCAGCTGCTGGTCATAATTGTGTGTCCTTGGGCAAGCCACTTCACCCCCACTTGCCTCTCTCCACCCAGGAGTATAAATGGTTACCGGCATTAGCTGGGGAGTAACCTGCGATGGACTAGCATCCATCCAGGGGGAGTAGAAATATTCTCAGTCGTTTCATGCTACTGACACCGGAGATATACGCCGGCCTGATGGGCCACTTGGCTCATGTATGACGGACTTTACTCTTTTTTTTTTAATAGGGCCTATAGTTAATATAAAGCGCATGAAAAATTTGGCATTTCAAAACAGGAGCGACAATACATACATGCGCAACGCAAGTCGAAAAATCGACTGTTGCAGTCGCTCGGAACGAAGCTAGCAAATTTAAAAAAACTTCGAAAGTTTGACCATAAATACGGACCATTCTACCCAAAACCACGGTCTACAAAGTATACCAGAATCTAACAAGGCATTCTATACACAGTATTTATTTGGGTGCCGTCAAGTACACTGTTTATTATTAAACAGAACTCGAGCCTATTCATTGGCAATACATTGTACGCTTTTGTACGTCTATTCAAGTGCCATATAGTATTGGGCGTTGTTCATTTTCTATTCTCAAATTCGGTTGGAAAAATACATGGGGAGATCCCCGTTCGTTTACGAGTCGTTTACTCATGCGTGTCAACTGAAGGTTAAAGGTTTCTAGTGGTATATTCTCCTTTCAAAACTACACAAGAGAACAATCGCATGGGTAAATCAATTGAATTGGACTGTTTGTGTAGTTTATTTTCCCGTGGTAAACAAGGTCATAGATCTACTTTCTGCTTGAATATTATAGCTGCAATGCGGGAAAGCTATATTTTACGACTCTATGTATATAGCCCCACATGATCTGGGAAAAATGCATGCGATAAATATCCGAATATTGATGACGAAGACACTTTATCAAGACAATTTTACGAGGTATGAAAAGGATTTATAAACTTTAGTGTTGAGATGCATTGTGTTTCAACTACAAGTATTTTTCTTTTTGACCATTTTTCAGAGATGGGTGGTGTTCCAAGGTGACACAAGTACAGGTAATTTAAGGGAGGCTTTATCGTGAGTTCACATTTTACAAAGCAGAGCACAGCACGGCAACACAGCGAAACGGAGTAATTGAAGCGACACAGCGCAGAGCAAAGTAAACGCACAGTATATAAGAGCAGAGCAGAGCATGGCAGGGCAGGGCAGGACAATGCAGATGACACTATTCAATCAACCCAAAAGACAAAGCGATGCCACTTTTAATTTTTAACCTGGATAGTCACAAAATACCGTAAATTGACCACTTTCAATTCCATCGAACAGGCATCTTCCAACTCAAAGTCTTCAAGCATTCCAACGAGAGGATACTAAAGATAGCCCACACCATCTCCAAGGACACTTTTGTGGGCATAGAGAGGGGCGATTTCGAAGACTCCACTAGACGGGGTCAGAAGCCCGGCAAGACGGTCAGCTATCTCGCCATCTTACTGGTCACCGACACCATCCTGCTTCATGACGACATGCCAAACTTGGTCAAATGGCACTCAGGTTTCAAGAAGTACTTTCACAGCAGTGAGTCTCATCTCTTCAAATCCTCATGATATACGGTAGAACACATGCAATTCATATTAAGCTTTCTTTTAGTACAAGAATCATTCAAATCACTCTTTTACTTTTCAAGTTAGGGAATTTTAAACACAACCACCATTTTAAAGTTCTATCCACGAATCATAAAAAAGGTGTGCGTTCTTTCAGCAAAACGGAAACAATTCACACACATCCCTATGTGATTTGTTTTCGTTTTGCTGAAAGAACACTTACCTTTTTGTGACCCGTGGACAGAACTTTAAAACGGTGGTTGTATTTAAAATTCCGTAACTTGAAAAGTACACGAGTGATTTGAATGATTCTTGTACTAAAAGAAAGATTATGAATTGGGCTTTCATATCCTAGACTTTGAAAGTGCTATATGCAGAACTTCACTTAAACAATGGTCCCGACATTTGGGTTTCGATTTTTTGACTTGCCCTGTAGATAGCTACATTTACATGTATTTATTTTCAGTCTTTCTTACTGACCAGACGAGAATTATTGACGATTCATAGAAGTGTAAACATGTCTTCTTTCTCCCCTCCCCCTCCCTCAAATCTAAAGACAGTTGGGAAGTGGTGCCCATGACGGGAGTCGCCACACCTGAGTCCAAGGTTGTTCTCCACATTACCCAGCATGCAATCTCGCTGGCAACAATCAACCCCCCTAAGCACTACCAGCGGTGGCAGCTGGGTAAGGTGACCGAGTACGGGGTCTGGGGTGCCAGGGTATACTTCGAGATGGACAGCTCCGAGACAGGCAATGGTGAGTCTGGAAATGGACATTATAGACCTTTATGCTGGCGCCATTCCAGTCATGTTCCCTGTATCCAATAACAGGATGAATGACAAAGTTTTTTGTGCAAAAAGGAACCAGACTATTTTTCCTTCCAGCCTCGCTTTGGTTACCGGTCCATTAATTTGAATGGGAACAAATCAAGACGGCCGCAACATGATAATGTCTATGAAGAGGGTCTATGGTCAGGTTGAGCTTAATTGCAATAATCTTAAAATTGGTTCTCTATCCCACTCAAGATAAAAGACCATCATTAAAAAAACATAGCAATTAGAGACCGATTTTATTGTCTTAATTCTTGGTACTTGGTGTTTATCCTCTTCAGAACTCCTCGAGGAAGTATAACTTAGAGGCTTGGAGTGTGGCATAATTAACTAAATCAATGATTTGAATTGATTGTCGTTTGGGGCATTGATGACATCTTGGGGTAATTTGTTCCATTTTCTGACTGTTCTTGGTAAGAAGGATTGCATGTAGACATTGGTTCTTGCGGTGATTTCATTAAATTGGCAGTTGTTCCCCCTCCTTTGTCTGTTACTTTTCGGTTGCAGTGCATCTGGTTGAATGTTTACTGTGTTGTTGATGACCTTGTACAAAAATACTACAATGTAGTTGGTTTAAAAATACTACATGTAGTTGGTCTTAATTCTGTCTTGTTAACGATATCAAGTCTCCTCTGTAATGCGCCTACCAGCACAATATCTCGGAAGCCGAAAGATATCATATTTTTCATGTAAATCATACTTCAGTTGGAACTTCCAAGTCGGAAGGCGGTGAAAAAAAAGTTCCACGCCCTTACTTCATAATAAGGGTAAAATTGAAGGGATCAACTAGGGACCAACTTCAAATTCACCCAGTGAAAAGTTTGCGTGACTTTATGCTTAATTTTCAGGATACTTTGAGATAAAGGCATCGACCCTTGTCCAGGCCAACAGCATCGGGGATACAATCAGCAGCTTGCTACCCAACTTAGTCCCAGGAACGAAGCGACGCATGTCCCGTGGTGAGTGAAAACATCTACACCGACCAATCAACAAAACTACCAAGACGCCCCGTGTTCAGTCATGTACCCAGCGAGGGTGTGGTTGGCAGGGGGCACCTTGCCCCTTCCCTGCGACATTTGCAGGGATGCAATTTTCAATTAAAAAAAAAAGTCTGAAATTGGATGAAAGGTCTGAAAGATGCATTTCTTTCTATGCCGATAATGTCTTTCTCTCGGATTCAAAAAATCTGAATTCAGGCAAAAGTCTGCAAAAATCTCATGCCTGGATTTTTGGCTTTTTTCTTTTATATAGCACCACATACCAGCAACTCAAAACCAAAACTAGTTGTAAAGCAAACCCAGTGATTTAAAACAATCGAAAATAAGAGAACATTTAAAAAAAACAACATTATCTACTATTTTATTTATATTAAAAAACATGTTACTTAATGCTTTCTTTTGTACTTCTTCCTGTCCAATCTATCCAGAGTCAACACGAGAGAAATTGAATATCATTCTGATTTCCTAAAAGAAACTTGACAAATTATAGAAGTTCTTTTCTATCCATCAGACGGTTTCTTTTCTATCCATCAGACGGTTTCACGACATCACCCTTTTCCCCTCGACTGGAGATCACAGACAGTGCCTCCGATGACAAGCAGCGTGTGTTCAAATTTCCGCCTTCTCGAGCAGCACCCATCAGTCAGGCTGTTTCACCTGGCCCAACACCCCCACTAGTCAGTCCGAGAACACCCTCGACCCTCCTATCAACGCCCATCCCCGAGTCATCACCAAAATCACCGCAGTCACCGCTGAAACTCGGCCCACCACCGGTGAACACACGGCCAGCATTGCAGTCGAGTCTATCACAAGTCCTCCAGTCACAAGCTATTAGTTCGGATGAACTGCGACAAATGCATTCAATGTAATAATTTTTGTTTATCCTTTTAGTAATTACTTGTATTAAACTGGACTTGTGGAAGGACTTGTGATTTACTTTTGATTTACTTTGTGATGGTATTTTTTTGTATGTATATTACACAAATAATGAATGTTTGTGAGTGCAATGGTGAGAATAATTTAATTCGGTGACAGATGGAATGGTCCATTTCACTCGGGACATTCCATCTGTCACCTCATGAAATTATTCTTACCATTGCACTCATAAACACTCATTATTTGTACATTTTGGTACTGGTGGATTTTTTTAAATGGAAAATGCCAGCACGTTTTTCTGTATTTATTGATGTTATTAAATAATGGAGATGTTGAAACAATTGAATAGCTCAATTGTACATGTCTTTCAACAAATTTGTATTGATACAGATGCTAATTGAGTCAAATTGTATGCTCATTCATCACTTATCACAGGGCAGCTATTCAGGAATCATCAAGTGATACCAGTACGCACAAATCTGATCCAATTACTGATCCAAATATCAAATTATTGATGTATTCCTTCCACACTAGAAAGGTAGCAAGGAAAAACAAGCCTTAGGCCCCCCAAAAAAGTCTCTGGTTTCTGGTATGGAGCTTGCCCAAAAAGTGGTGCGGCGACGCGGCTTTTTTTTTTTTTTTAACCTTTTTTTTTGTTTCAAATGTCGGCTGATGACTGCAAATGGTGCCCGACTAAACTTAGTGCAAATATATGGGAGTCCAGAGAGGCCACATAAAGCTTATTCTCGATCATAACCCCATCTAAAAACACGTTAAAATTGTGCAGCAGCAGGATTCCAGTCAAACCAGTGAGTTTGGCGGTTTTTAGACATCATCTTTTATTGAAAAAAAAATTTTTTTCATTTTGCCGACGCGCATGGCTACGGCAACGGCATACCAGAAACCGGAGACTTTTTTTTTGTGGGCCTTATAGTACCATTTTTTAATTTTGTGTAAAAATGTTTACTGATCCAAAATCCGGACAGTTTTGCAGCTGAATTCTTTGACTGTAGCTATGTGACAAAAGAAGCGCTTTTGATGATTTTTGTTTGAAAGAATTTCTATTTCAAATCTGTTAACTTGAATTTATAAATTGGCATTAAACTGTACAATTATATGATTCTGACACGAATTCAAAATATTTATCAGCTCTAAACCTTTTTCCCCCTTTGGTCAAATTAAATACATGTTTTTTCCAACCTACTTCGTCTTTATGTGTGATACTTCTAAAGAGAGAACTGCTCCTTACATGACACCCTGAAACCAATGGTTTTAATGGGGAATTCATTTAAGAATATTGTTGAAAAATAAAATAGATTCAGGGGACTGGTATATTTTGAAAAAAGGGTCTAGAATGGGATTTGATTAAACTAAAACCAATGTTGTTAATTTGGATACATGTTATATGTACATTTGTAATGCCGAGGGGGTTAATATAATTCGTTGGGTGCACCACAAAGTCTATGGACTTTGTGCACACGATACGTCACTTCGTGGTGCAACCGAAGAAATAAATGAAAGTAACAGCATTTCAGAAACACTTCTCAGTAAAACCAGACAAAACACATTCCAAGTTCGTTTTTTTTGTTTTTCAAGCCATAGCTTGAAACTTTATTCTATATACATCTTCGTAAGACATCAAAACAAAAAGTTCAGGAGTGTTGTTTAAGACTGTCCCTTCAACAGATTTCCGAAGGGTCCACGACAAGTGCACTTGCCTTCATAATGCGTCTCGCTGTTGAATTGTCTGGTTTCAAGTCAGTCCAAAGGTTGAAGGTCAAAGTTGAACAGTTGGCGTCAAAGAACGTCACTCCCGCCACCCTTTGGGTTGGTGCCTCACTTGATTTCTTTAACCTGGAGACCTGAACATGCAAAAATTGATATACAAAAAATCGATGTAATGTTTAAATTGATGATCAAGATGATAAAAAAAAAACCCAGTTTAGGCCAAACAAAAAAATAAGTCGGTCTCTGGTCAGCGCGCGCGTCGATTTTAAGTATGCGCGTCGATCTTTTTTTTCCCAAAATGTTCCGCGGTAGCTCCAACAGCGCCCTCTATTTCCGCACCTCCTCAATTTTTTTTTACCAAAGAGCACCAAGGAATGGGAAATTGCACCAAGGCAAATAATCAAAAGCACCAGGGCAAATTATGGAGGACACCAATGTACATGAGGACACCAAAAAAGCAAAATAGTACCCCACCTTGTCTGTACAATCCAAGCTTGAAGAAAAAAAAAAAAAAGAAGCCGCATGGCCGCGTCAATTCCGGAACTTTGGTCTGACCAGAGACCGAATATTTTTTTTTTTTGGCCTTATCTTGATTTACTTCAGCTTTAATTATAATAACTTAAAGGGAAGATACAACATTTGCAAACGTCAAAAAACGAAATGATCAAATTATCACGAAATACCTTACTGGATTGTTAGGGAATGACAGTCTAAAGCATCCTGTAAAGTCATGGCTCCTGGTGTGCTGACATTTGCAAGAAAAATGGTATTTTTCCAACGCTGGTCGGCCGACCAGCGTTGGAGAAAACTGGCTTTTTGCAAAAACTGCTCCTAATATTTCATTTTTTTAGTTATTCCGCATTTTCTTTGCAATTGATTACACACCTGTGAAGAGGTACAAACCTGATAGACTGATTCTCTGACCTTACAATTCCCCAAAGTCTATAAATTGCTCCATTTCATCTTAAGTGGTGTCAGGGAACCAGACTACAAGACCATGATAGGTTTTCTTGGTTTTTCCAGCACATACAAGCCCAAAACGTGAAACAAGTCAGTTTAACAATATTTGCTATAACATACTAGTCCTCCAAATCCATTTATTTCTGAAAATCGCTGCAATAGCAAATGTTGTACATTCCCTTTAAAATGCTTCAGCAGGAATACTAAGTTTTTCAAGAATTATTGAATTGAGTGGGGCAATAGCTCGTCTACAGCACTGCAGTTACACTAAAGCCCAAACGCAACAGTCAAACCTTAATGCATCTGGAGTAACTGGCCAGGTAAAAGCAGTAGAAGCGGTTAAAGCAGTTCAATCAACTTTCAGCGTGATCAAACTATTCGCGCCAATTTCACTCCCCGTGATAGGGACGCGAGAGAGGGTATCGTGAGCATGCACATTCCTAAAATGTTTGCCCCAACTTTGATCTGAATTGAGTTTCTGCACGGCAATGGCACGGGGTTTAGAACAGTGCCACTGCCATTCGGAACGACGATAGGGTGGCAGCCCTGTCGCCCTAAAGGATGGTGCCGTGCCGAACTCAATTCGCCGAACCAAAAGGTTCTGAACACCATGCCATCCCCGTGCCGAATTAAAAAAGTCAAAATACTTGAGTTCTGCAAATTAATTGAAGGGCAGATAACCAGAAACAAGCATTGTCTTACCTGGAGGGAGAGACTGCTTGAGCTTCTCGGCCTTCTCTGTGTCTTTGATGACCAGGGTGTACAGGAAGCGACTGCATCGCACCTTGAACTTGACACAGTCCTTGTTCTTCTTGATCTTCACGGCTGTTTGGCAGGGGGAAAAAAAAAGGAGATGTAACCAACACAGGATCTTGGAACAATTATTATCTTGTTGTCGTAGACCTGAAATTATTAGTTAACCCTAACCCACCTCACTTCTCCAAAATCCTCCTGGCAGTTTTGAAGGATTCTAGAGGATTGAGGATGAATGGTGATTGAAGCACATGAGGATTTTGGAGGATTGAGGATGAATGGTGAATGAAGCACATGAGGATTTTGGAGGATTGAGGATGAATGCATTTTGAGGCAGGACTGTCTGATGATTTTGAAGGATTTGGCGTTGGTTATCCTTCATTTAAACACGAGTGCAAAGTTTTGGGATGAGGAGGATTTTGGAGGATTGAGGATGAATGCATTTTGAGGCAGGACTGTCTGACAATTTTGAAAAATTTAGGCGGAGTTGAACAATTTTGGAGGATTTTGGAGGATTGAGGATGGTTGTAAGCAACAAAGGCCTAGGGGGTTAGGGTTACGGATATAAAAACCAAACAGAATTGGAAAATTTTGGACTTCTATGACCATATCCGACTCCATAATAACATGTATAATATACAGCATATTGACATGAATTTGCCATATCCACACGTTTCAAATAAAAACCCAATTTTCTGCGCAAAAACATACTGGTACCACTAAGGCCCCCCCAAAAAAGTCTCCGGTTTCTGGTATGGAGCTTGCCAAAAAGTGGTGCGGCGACGCGGCTTTTTTTTTTTTTTTACCTGATTTTTTTGCTTCAAATGTCGGCTGATGACTGCAAATGGCATGAATGGTGCCCGACTAAACTTAGTGCAAATATATATGGGAGTCCAGAGAGGCCACATAAAGCTTATTCTGGACCATAACCCAATCTAAAAACACATTAAAATTGTGCAACAGCAAGATTCCAGTCAAACCAGTGAGTTTGGCGGTTTTGAGACATCATCTTTCATTGAAAAAAAACCTTTTTCATTTTGCCGACGCGCATGGCTACGGCGACGCGCGCGCATACCAGAAACCAGAGACTTTTTTTTTTTGGCCTAACAACCCTCCCCCCCCAGAAAAAAGAACAATTATCTCCAAAAGGTGAAATTTAGGTGCACCTACTGCTGAAACCTTACTTGAAATGATGGAGCTACCCAAATTCAAAAAAGTGCTTGGTCATGAAAGACAAATATAAAGTCATGGACGCAAACTGTAAAGTGGCTGGATTCCAAATTGGGTATTTTGCCAAACAGCACCCCCCGCAAGTTCACCCACGTTTGTTTATGGTGTAAATCGAGGATTTTCTTTTGTTCCTCTCATTGGTTTTGTACAGGTTTGGAATCGAGGTCGTCCTCGATTTGGTTCCTGTCCTCGATTCACCGATGATGTTGCACGTGCGTGTCCTCGATTTACACCATAAACAAACGCATACACACATGTTTACGTTACATACCAAGTGTAGACATTCCCTTGGTTTCGTGTAGTTAAGAAAAACCAGTGAAAAAACTCATTTTTCTCAAACTGTGAAAACTCTTTCAACCCATTTTTTTTTCTATGATCCCCTTTAGTGTTTCTCTTCATTTAGCCACGGATAAACTTAACCCAAAAATGCCTCTAAACCTGTTTTCCAGAAATGGGGAAACACTGTGTGGACTTGCCCAAGTCCACACAACGTCGCCTCTACCTGGTTAATGTGGACCTCTTTTGATGGGAAGTCCACACAGACAATGTAATGCCTACCCACAGTAGACTGATACTCACACTTTGCATCCTTCCTTCTGGCTGTCAGGAGCAGGTCCTTGATCTCGTGAATTTCTCTTGGCTGAAATGGGGCAAAATGGTAAATATTTATTCAGCATGTTACAAAATCTCTTCAATTTCTTCAATGTGTACAACATTTCACAAGATTCACATAATATATCAATTTGCACGCTTGAGCACACTTTACAGAAACATTTGACCATTCACCACGGTTCGTAATCAGCGGACGAAAAAATGACATAATAAGGCCCCCCCCCAAAAAAAGTTCTGCTTCTGATTACATGGCATTTGAAAATAGGGTAGGCAGGAAGTTGAATTATTTTTGTTGTCAATTTTTTTGTGTACGATCATATGGAGGTGTCTGCATGTAGTCAAGGGTAAAATGTAGTGATTGATGATTTTTGGGTTTCCCCCCCCTCACTCCTCTCCCCCCCCCCAAAAAAATATCAGGGTAGGGGCTGTCAAAATAGGGTAAGTAGGGTAACCGGAAGCAGAACTATTTTTTTGGGACTAAACTGGCCGATCAACCCATAAATCCCAGTGGTGGAATGTTTGCAATGGAACATCCTGCATGATTCAAAATCAAACACTTCGCAGAACATTTTTGTGCTTCGACTAAACAACGAGATGACAAGCTTCATGAAAAAGAACTAACTGCAGACAGGGCTCTGGAGTGCTCTGAAACGTGCAAAACTAAATCAGGCCCACTTTACTCACAGTTTAGCCAGCAAATTTCTCCAAAAATTCCACTGGGGCAAAGAAAATGTCCTCAGTATTTCATCAACCAAGTTTGCAGACTCAATTCAATTTTTAAAGGAGACATTTTTCTTCAATATTTTGCACATGAGACGGAAGTCATGTGATTTCAAAATGGGGCTAAATACTAGACTGGTACATGTCCAACCATGGTCCAACTATTTGAAAAGACTGACCTCTTCATTCAGTGTCAATAGTGTCAATAGTCTGGTGGCTTGACTATGGAGAAATGTGTAGTAAATTGAGACTAGTTCCCGCTTTTTCTTAAATTCTTTTGGCATGGTTGATTGATGCAGTACTGAAGCTGTATTGGACTGGTTGTTTTAGGTGCCAGTCTATGTTCTGGTTTTGCATGTTTTCAATACCTTGAAGCCCGGTTCACTCTTCACGTGAAAGCATGTGCGAAGCGAAATTCATGTCGTCGCAATGGTGGACGCGCTTCGAATGTATTGTTCAGAGATGCCACAGGGTCTGCTTTTCAACGGCTGCTTGAAAAAAAAAAACGGAACTTTTTGTGTGTAAAAGCCACTCCGTGTCCGACACAAAGTCCCCGTTGTCATCTTTATCTTGTAGCCAAGCCAAGTTCTGTTTATTTTTTAATTTTGCTTCTATGGCCTTTAAAGCTGTCGGTTCGTTCAATCACTTTGACTTTTTCCGTATTCCTAATATTTATTCTGCCTACCCGAATTTCCAACGTAATATTCGACACGAAACATGCACAATTCCACAACACTGCTGTCGGTGTACATGATCCTTGCATACATGCACTACGCGATGCGCTAAACGAAAACATGGTTGGTACCCGCATTTTTTGTATTCACATATATCACTGCGATTGGAAACCACCGCTAGCTGAAATGATAGACTTGATTTCCAGGCTGAATGCTATGTGTGCTTAGCACACAACACGCCCGCACGCAGTGAAGCACGCGCGAGGCGCCGTTGTATACTGCGTGCAAGTACGTTGGCCGCTTGTATCGCATGCAGGCTCGGCAACAACATACACAAAGACTGTTTTTAAGACTACTTCAACGAACAACGTTGTGCCATGCGTGCGCCTAAATCGAGGTAAAAATCAACGCATTTCCACAGTTTTTCTTCTCTTTTTCTGGTTAATTTGACGGCCGGAAAAACCGGAATTTTGTGAGATTATTTTCAAAAACCGGAATTCCGGTTAAAACCGGAAAAGTGGCATCTCTGATTGTTGACGTCACGAATTTCGCTTCGCTTTCGCGTGAAGTACATGTATGAACCAGGCTTAAGATTTGGGACTCTCATACACAGTATTGAGAGTCCCAAATTTTCGGACTAAACTAACTGTAGCTGAGCTGTATCTGCCAGAGTCCATTCACATACATGTATTAAACAAAACCTGGTTGAGGTTTTTGACAGATTCATGCCATGATTGACGGTGGTTATGAATAATACAAAGGTGGAAATCATCACCTACCATTTTGAATCAGTCTGTTGACGTCTCCTGAAGGATTGGTCAGCTTAATGATAAAGCAGAGGTTGATTCCCCTGCAGGTAAATATGAAATAGATTCCAACGTTAAGTGCATATATGCGGGCGCACTTTTGACCAAAACTGAATGACAGGCAACAGACGTACAGATGCACATTGTCAAAATTTGATGCAAGCTAGTGAGGGCGCAATTTATCACAACCCATGACGTCATGCAACACGACGCTTTCGTGAACAATGGCTGTAAAAGTCGTCCGAATTCATCAACTCGAAATTACAAGATAACTAGACCTCTGAAGGTGCCGAATTTAACGTTTTGTTGATATTAAGCAGTTGTAGACGGCATTGTGCGAGTATGAAGTGACAAAATAATTGCGATTTCGAATGGATTTTCGGCTCCCTTAGCAACGGACTCTCCGTCCATATAAATATATGTGGATTTGTGACGGTTAATACAGAGGTAGTCCAGTATTACATGTATTACCGTCACCATGGTCACATTTATGGGTCTAGAGGTGGGCCTGGCTAGCCTACATACCCTTCTCCCCTTTTAACCACTTTACAAATTAAAAATACTGTTCACTGGGGTCACTTTTTCAGAATTGCACCCCCCCCCCCGGTCCGGTCCGGGACCACGGGGACCCAAACATTGGACATAATAATTAGGACATGTATTATATTGAAGGAATGGATATACAAAACGTGGATCAAATTGACATCTTCCTGGTTGAAAATGATCAGATACACATTTGCGCATCATTAATAATGTTAACTTACAATCTTGGCTTTTTAAAGGGAATATACAACATTTGCAAACATCGAAATATAAAACTACCAAGTTTTTACGAAATACCTTACTAGGATGTTGGTAAATGACAGTCTAAAGCATCCTGTAAAATTATGGCACCTGGTGTGAAGTCATTTTCAAGAAAATGGTATTTTTGTATACATTTCCAACGGTGGTCGGCCGACCACCGTTGGAAAAACCTAACTATTTTTCAACTACTGCTCCAACTTTACACTTTTTTCAGTCCAAATTTTGTTTGCTATTGGTTACATGTTCATGAACGGGTGCAGGCAAGCTAGACTGGTTCCCTTACCTTACAATTTTTCGGCATCTATGCATTGATCCATTTTATCTTTCGAAGTGGCTATCGTTACGGCAGCCGTTGTTTAGCGCCCTCTACGATACGTTTTTGATACGCACGCAGGTATATACATGTAATTATTTGTTTCCCCACGTTTTAGCGAGCAGTGCGATAGCTCAGTCGATAGAGGGTAGGATTTTGCACCGCGAGGTTGCGGGTTCGCATCTCAGTTTTGCACTCGAATTTTTTTCCTTTTCTGACCTGAGGCTTTGGAGGATTTCGAGTAAAGTCCAAACCAACCACCCTGTTGGCAGCTATGAGGCTACGGAGTGGGAGTCCCCTTGAATATGCTTGAGAACGAAGCAACACAAAAGGAATGGGAGTTGCTGAAAAAATTCTAAGTCCAAACCAACTACCCTGTTGGCAGCTACGCGGTCACGAAGTGGGAGTGCAATGGAGCATGACGCATAGTGCATACAAGTAGCACTGAGAATGTTTATTGAGGTCAATCAACCGTGACCTCGTAGCAGGCTACGAGGTGGACAGATCGAGTGGCGGGGTATTCTGCAATTGTGCCGAGGATTTTTTTTAAAAGGGAAATAAAGTCTGAAGTTCATAACGTTTAAATTCACTTTTTTCCTTCTAATTTTAAATTTTCTTACGTTTTTATAAAAGTTGCAGTAGGCCGTAACGATGGGAAATGCGATACGGCTGCCGTAACAATAGCTACTGCGTTTATCTTTAGTGGAGTCAAGGAACCAGACTACTTGAACATTTTTGTTTTTCTTGTTTTTTTCAGCATTTTCGAACACAAAACCTCAAACATGTCAGTGTAACAATATTTGATCTATTAAGAGTATTATACTAACCCCTCAAATAGTTCATTTCTGAAAATTACAGCAAAAGCCAATGATGTACATTCCCTATAAACGTCAGATATTCATGAGATCGAGAGAGCACTGGAAGTGGAACTCGTCGTACTTTATCTTACGCGGTGCAATATATTCTGACCCATTTTCATATTCATCAATAATATAACATACAAAAATGTCAACATAGGGAGACGATTTATGTCTTTAACATTTACACAATGTAAAAAAAATTCTATGATTGATCCTCACAATGAACAATTTAACCGATTAAATTCGGTTCATCAACACATCAGCACACCTCACAGATCCCTTCTGCACGTACGAAAAGGCCAGTTACTATTCCCACGTAGAGAAAATACATTTCAAGATAAAGGGCACCCGCGAAAAAAGCCGAGTGCCAGGATTATCTGAGTGAAATTAGTCAACAGAGGGCGCTACTCATAAAACCTGCTTCACTAGCGCTCACCCATAGACATACAGTACATGTAATAATAAAACCGTGTTGGAATTTGTAACACTTTGGAAAGTGTTGAATCAACTTTTAAAGTGTGGTCACTGACCGAACACATAGGAAGTGTTGAGCTTATCATTTATAAAGTTGGATTTAACACTTCAGTTTTTAGATTGTGGATCTACACTTTTGAAAGTTGCAAATTCGAAGGGGGGGGGGTTAAACCTCATTTATTAATAGGACGCCCTTTATCCAAGAGTACACTATTGTGGGACTGGGACCTGTCAGTGTCATGGGGGGGGGGGGGCATACCCCCAGTGGAAAAAGTAGGAGGGCCAATGGGCCGGTTCCCTGCCCCCCCCCGGTTCCACCGCCAGTGACTGAGAGCATTATGCCACGATGTACATTTAAATCAAAATAGCACGATGGACATGTTTAAACATAATCTATGAACATCGTGTTTGACTTTAATTGACAAGTCGCCACAGTGCCGATCATTTATAAAAAGACGTGACGACCAGCATATTCACGGGCGAATGTATTACGTAATTTGCGACTCCTGACAAAAAAGAGTTTGGTACGATAGGCATGCAGCCGTGTGGGCGGATGTAATTAGAGTACGGAGGACTTGAAGGAATTAGAGAGCAAACATATCACAGTGGTTTGGGAACCAATCAAGATGCTGGACTAATAATAAAAAAACCAGGCGATTCAGGAGCCTGAAACCAAGCTCATCTGTCCATGGTGAAAGTGGTGAGTCAACAGCGGCCGCGCCTGGATAATCTCCGACATTCATTCAGTATCGACCTCCTAACCACAGACCTTTTATATCAATCCCCATTCATGCTATAAGCATGTGCCTTGCTCTGCGGTACAAGCTATGGTCAGGGTCTCTTTCATTGCATATCACTGCTTAGCTCATTGCACACCTGCTTGACCAACCCCCCACCCCCCAAAAAAGTGTAACTGCCAACATTTCGTGCAGTGTAATTAATGCTCGTCATAGGTGGTATACCCTATACTGATTTTTGCTTTGAAAAAAAAAAAACATTGACGAGCTGTTTGGTTTCTGCTTATCAACTCCTTTTATTATCGCTGGGGTGCTTAAGGGACAGTTCGGTGAAGCAAAGCTTAGAAACAGTCTAAAAAACAAAATAAAATATGAAGTGGAAAGGACCCGTACGTACGCGCTGAGCGAATGGATGACTTGCCCCCAAATTAAAGGCGCATCCGAGACCGAAGGTGCCAGACCACGACCGCCGCCCGTAGACGGTTTGGGTAGTGCCTTATGACCAAAGAGCGGTTGTACAAAGATCCGACGCCTATAAATATAGTATGTTTGTGTTTATAAATTCGAAATTGTTTAAAGAGGTTTTAGTTGGTCGACGTTTTAAGGGCGGCTGTTTTTTCCTTCGCGCCCGCTTGGTTGTGCTGTTTACGTCTGCCATTGGCTGTGCCTATACTGTTTGGTATCCCTAACCGGCCTACCAAAAAATGCTTCTTTGTCTTGTACATCCAGCAACGCAAAGAGTTCATACAAGCAATCCACTGCACACGGACCGTATAGCATAATTTGAGAGGATGGACAATACAGCAATTATGGACCCCAAGAGGTCCTTTCATCAGATGGGGTATTGTCTCCTCATTACCTCCAAGAAACAGGGATTGGCGGGAGATTAGCTATTGTTTGGTACGGCAAATGAGTAACTATAAAAAAAAGAGAAGAACTGGGCTAGTACGTAGGTAAAAAAAAACCCCAACTAGTAAAGAACGCCATGTATGACGTTCATGGGTCGGTACATGTACATGGTCACGGTACATTACGGGTCACATGCCGCGGACATCATTACAAGCGGAGACATGTAGAATCTGCAAACGCTGAGATAGAATGGATATATCATCAATACATTATTCAGTTGAATGAGCAACTTGAAATTTCAACAAGTGTCTTACATGTTAACACCATGTACGACAACCACGCACGATCGCCGTCATGAACGTGAGTATCTTATAGATGCGTAGTAAGAAGGCGTGAAGAAATAGCTGTGAAAAGATGATGACTTTACCACCCCTGAAGATGAGTTAGACAATCCTAGCTGTCTTCACAATAATCGCCTCTTGCTGATCAGAAAGGTAAACTTGCATGGCAGAAGTTCTTGACTTGGTTTTTGAAATCTGTGGATATCACGGATTTTGTACCTAAAAATGTCGCATTATTTTGCTTCATGAGCGATATGCACTACGCATGAACGGGGTACGTGTACACTGCAAAAACGGTGTTAAGCAATTAAACACTTTCTAAACACAAGTTCTTGCTATCACGCTAAACATGTTCAGATTATGGATTGATAGTGTTTAGCAAATGAACATTGATGTTTAGGAAATAAACACATAATGTTTAGTTTCTAAACATGTTTACAAAGTGATAGAAACATTGTGTTAAATTGCTAAAACAGTTTTTTTTAGAGTGTACCGAAGTAAAATCGACGGTTGCAGCTCCTACCTTTGCCAACTCCTGCCCGAAAATTCATTGTGTTGAAAATAGCCTCACATAGGAGATTTGGTTAAAACAGGAATAAGAAATACTTGTAATTATTTTAATCCTCATCTGGAAGCAATTAGAATGTTCGAGAGCTCCAAGTGAGGAACACCGTAGGTAAGAAAGTGTGTGATTGTTCACCTTCATTGCGATTTTTTTCCCAGATATGGCCGTCGATAATGAGTATAGACCTACTCCTCATTTCCTATTTTGTTGCCTGATTACGACGCTGCTTTGATTGGACATGGCGAAAGGCAATATGGTTGGTGAATCATTAGTGCGCTCAGTGTAGCCTCAGTTCCGGTCCTTTCTCGCCCTCCGAGGAGGCCTCAGAATTAAGCCTTACCCTTACCTCCGCTTACTCCCTAACTGACTCGTTTAGAAAGCCCCTTAAAATTTCTCTTAAAAAATCTGCACCTGCAGGGTAAATTAATGACTTCATCTGAGCCACGAACTCGACTGATGCAAGTTTGTAACAACAGTGTGGTTTATTCAAACACTTTCCATCAAAAGCAATCGCACCGATTTAACAATACTATCGAAATAAATGAATTAAATGTAATACAAGTCATGTAAGCCTATATATCATTATGTAGGCCAAACTACTAAAATGTTTAAGTTAAGTTTCATTTTATAGGTTATGTAATACGAGGATCTGAACCCAAATCCAGATCAGGTCCCAATTTCATAGAGCTGCTTAGCATGGCATGCTGCTTAGCAAAAACCAGCTTGATACCAGTCACAAGCTATTACAATTGCATGGAATTTTGGCTGGTAACCTGTTTTTGCTAATAAGCAAATGTTTTATGTGCTAAGCAAATTTCTGTGCTAAGCAGCTCCACGAAGTTGGCCCTAGGCTGATGCCATTAAGGATTGGATCAATGGAAGGACAATCAACGCCTTGTAGGTGTGATTTACAAAGTAATCATAGACATCAAGCCGAGCTTGTGCGCACTTAATACTTGCGCGAGTTACAGCCAGTTGAAGAACGCGGCATGTCAGTTTGAGGTACGTGCTTCGACGTGACCAAGCTGGTCTCAGATCACGGAATATGTACTGATATTTTTGCAGATGTGTCTTGAAGGGCCTTCTTAGACATGGTAAGGAATTACGTTCTTTCTTTCAGGGCAAATTGTATTAACATTTGCAAACGACAGGTGTTGTATAGTAGGCCTGTATACATTGTACAACGTACCTGGAAATCTAAGCGCAGCGCCTGCTCGACGCTTTTGAAAATTTGCAAGAAACCACGACGCTAAAAGCAGCCTCAAGATTTTACATCGATTTTATTTGCGATGAAGACATGACTTCATAGTACAATTTGCTGATTTCCTTCAATAGTACCGTCACACAGTAGAGTGTCAGCTAAACTTCGGCATGTGCGTGTCACAATAATTGGTATTCTTTTAAAAATAACATTATTCTGCATATTAATTGGAGGGCGTTCACCAAGCATTCATTTATTTGAATGAGTTATAGTAAACCTGGTTTTGAATAATATTGCAGATGTTATACGTGACCTTCCTTCGCTATGTATAATTGTGTTTTTCGTTGGATCGAAAACAAGGGAATTTAGGCGAAAACGAATTCACATTCTTTGATATTAGATTTTGTTGTCATCAGGTGTGTGTCAGTTCGTAAACCCTGTCGCGTGTCTGTGACTGTGGGCAATGGGCAAGGATGAATGTTCCTTGGAGCATAATTTGCACTATAACACCGAAAAGTTCAACACGTACCTCGTACAATAATTACTAGCTCAATTCCCCGCCGAGGAGAATGATAAGTATGCAGTGTGGCCTTTTCCTTCCTATAACATGTTACAGCGGGGAAAAAAGGATTTATGTTTCGGTTCGGGCGCAGAGAAGAGTTTCATTCTGCCGAGTGCATTTTTATTTATGCGGATTTCGATTTTAAAATCCCCAAAGGGCGGTTGTTACAAGCAACAAACACGACCCGGCTAAGAATTAAGCCTACCCATCTGATAAAATTAGGTCCTTTTTCTTCCCGAAAGGTTTAACTTCAGAGACGAGACGAGACAAACTAATGGGGAAGCGAAATGACTTTTTTCCTGTTAAGGCCGGTGAAATTTGAGTTGGCATTCCATTAGCGAGGCATCCCACTTTTCAAGCTGATGTAGCTTGAAATTATTTTTTAAATCATAATGATTAAAGGTTAAAAAAAATTATTTTACTTTTTGATTCAACTCTAGCAGAGAAAAATTTGATTGTTATAGATAAGGCCAAAAAGAAAAGTCTCCGGTTTCTGGTATGGAGCTTGCCCAAAAAGTGGTGCGGCGACGCGGCTTTTTTTTTTTTTTACCTGATTTTTTTTCTTCAAATGTCGGCTGATGACTGCAAATGGTGCCCGACTAAACTTAGTGCAAATTATATGGGAGTCCAGAGAGGCCACATAAAGCTTATTCTCGACCATAACCCAATCTAAAAACACGTTAAAATTGTGCAGCAGCAGGATTCCTGTCAGACCAGTGAGTTTAGCGGTTTTCAGACATCATCTTTCATTGAAAAAAAATTTGTAATTGTTCATGTCTACTACACATAAGTATAAAAAGTCTCGAATAAACGTTTTTTTTTAAGGAAAAGCAATTGCCATCTTTCATTTTCACAAATAACAAACTCAACTTTAGGCCAAAAAAAACCAAGTCTCCGGTTTCTGGTATGCGCGCGCGTCGCCGTAGCCATGCGCGCCTTTTTTCTCAGTACATATGTACATGTATTAGACTTTTTGTCATGTCGATGAATGCGAACTTTAAACACACCTTAACACTGTCCAATTGAAGTACTGCAAGGAGAATTTTATTCTCTTTCCCTTATATCCGCAAACCCTCATTTCGACCTCTACCCACCAGCTCTGTCTCATTTTGCCAGAACGATTAATTTGGCTATTACTTACTCGACTATAACTGAGCCAGTCCAAAGACAGAAAGAAATCGAATACATGCAGTAAAAAAAAATAATGAAATTGAAAAAGAGTTTTCTCTTGATTCTCCCCTTTTATTAATCTCTAGCAAGGTGCAAAAGTACGCATGGGAAAAGCAACACCAGGGTACAGCTAAAGTAAATGCTATCAAATTTTTAAGGGAACCAAACGAGGACATCGCCAAGTTCCGATGGGAAATCTGTTCTCGGAAATTTAAAAGTATTTTATACTTGATGAAAAAGTCCTCCTCTTGCGGAGGGTGTCTTTACTTGAGACGTGTCATGAAAAGGTTGACAGAGCAAAATGAAATTTCGAGGTTTCCCCGTATTCATTTGTATCTTCATCAGTCCGGTGACCGATAAAGAAATGCTCGATAGACCTCAGTGCAAAGCTGCGTGGGTATCTACACTGTATCTGTTTTGGTAACAATTGAAAACGAAACTGATTAAAATTTCAAAATAAATGCCTATTTGGTATAAGATATTATTCTTAGAGTTAATGGTGATAGCCAACAATCATCGTATCGTACCGAGATCATCGCAAACGTTGCTTTTTGTGGATTGTCGCTTTAATTCAGAAATGGACCTCGGAAGCTTTTCACTACAAAAAGAATATTCGGGTAAGTAGCCTAGTGGGGAAATAGTCCCGTACATACACTCGTGTATGACCACTCCCATTGAGTCCCCACCAGAAAACGAGGACCCGATTAAAAGTGTCCTCTGCAGAAAGGTGCCCATAATTATAGGCCACTTCAGGCTATCTTTCAAGGATGAAATATTAACTAAAACTCCATTACTTCTCATTGCCACAGAATGAATTCAACATGAACTACTCCACGAACGCCAGTCTCGTTGAAACGAGTCGCCCGCTTTCCTTGCAGATCTGTCTGTCCGTCAGCTTGTTCGCTCTGATGCTACTGGCTATCGGCGGCAACCTGATAGTCTTCCTCGCAATTTTTCGGAGCACCTCCCTCCGCGCCCAGGTTGCCAACATCTTCATCGTCAATCTGGCCCTGACTGACTTCGGATGTTCAGGTTGGTGTCTAAATGGTCACAGTCTTCTGTACAGTTTCATGATGGTAACTTGGATCTGAGTGATTGTGTTGAGTGGCCTCATACAGACAAAGATGTCTGCACGATAAAACCATGTATTGATCAGTCCTGCCAAAATATATGTACAACTGCATGGTATACTGTCTGGACCCCAATTTGAGGAGCGGACCTCATTTGCCGTTAGAGGGCGCCCTTTTACCCTGTTTGTTTCTTTTAATTCAAGAATTCATGGTCGGAAGGAAAAGGGATGAGTGTCATCGATTTAAAAAAAAACAGTTGTCTTCACTCTTCTTCTAGTTTCATATTTGTTTTGTTGGGGGAGGGGGAAGGGGGGGGGGGGTGGAGAATTGGCCCCGTTACCCTCCTTCCCCGGATCCGCCTATGCCTGCTTACCTAAGCAGACGCCACAACCGGACTATTGGTACACTACTACGTCTTGGTCTGGTCTGTTGATGCATAGCTGCATGGGTTTCAAAGTGATCAACACCATGTACATGTACACCATAAGACCATTAGTTAACGTTTTTTTCGCGCTATACTTGCAGTGTTGAATGACCCTCACGTTCCAAGTTTCTCTTATCCTTTTGCTTTCAGTGTTAGTAATGCCGTTCTCGCTGGTATCTGTTTGGCAAGGCCGGTGGGTGTTCTCCCCCGTCTGGTGTAAAGAGGTGTGTCTCCTCAACTACTGCTTCATCATCACCTCTATGCTGACCCTTGCCCTCATCTCGGTCGACCGTCGCATCTACGTCACTCACCCACTGCTCTACAGCCTCATCATGACAAGGAGGCGCGCCGTGGCGCTGGTCCTGTCCACCTGGGTAGTGGCTCTCGCCTTCGCGGTGCCTCCTCTTGTCCTTGACTGGGTGGAATACGACGACAATGAAATCGTTTGTGCCATCGATTGGGAGATCGGCCTGGGAGCGTCTGTCATCTCCTACACGGTTAGTGCTTGCGCCATCTGCTACCTGGCACCAATCGTGGTGATTGTGTATTCCTACTGGGGCGTCTTAAAAGTGGCCCGCAGACATGCTGCACGTATTGTTCCAGTTATACACCTGACTGAGGTCCCTCATACCACTACAACCACGCGACGCGAATCTCAATATACATCGTCGTCCAGAAGCGATACTCAGCAACCAAACGAAGCTCGAACGGACCCGAGACAAGTCCGTGGAAAGAAGTACGCAACTCGGGCCATCAAGCTCATTCTGACCTTGGTCATATTCTACATCATCTGTAACACGCCCTTCTGTCTGACCAAGCTGATCAAAGTGGCCATGGGAGACAACGAGGCTGTGCCTTCCTACATCAGCACGCTTGCCTCTTGGATGGCGTTCCTGAACCCGGCATGCAACCCGGTCATTTACTCTATCCTGAGGGAGGACTTTCGGACGGCATTTTTGAAGATCCTCCCCAAGTGCTGCCGTCGATGCGGCAGGAAAAACTCGGGAAACTCTGTCGGTTCGGACTGTATCTAACTCTCTGAAAGCAACATCGTAAAACAATATGCGAACCCTCGTTTTACAAAATTAATCACCTCCACAGACTTGTACTTTACCTGGACTATTTTGTTTTTTTAAATTTTCTTTGGATCTCATGCTTAGATCTTTTCCAGAAATCGAAACTTTAGTTTACTCAAATCAGGTGATTCATTCATTCAACCGTTCCACACATAATATTATGGTAAAGTAACTTTACCAAGTTGCAGAAGAAGAAAAAAACCCCAGCAGGCATGTCCCAGAGATGGAAGAGATATATAGTTTGGTTGATTCGAATGCCTCCCCGTGCATTGGACAGTGGGACTCTGGTGATTTTGTTAACCCTCCGTGATGAGCATCGTGCAATAGACCCAGGATATAATGACGTCACGCTTTTGTTTACATGGGCGCTTTCTTATGTGGGAGCCAGGTGGGGACGATTGACTGACGCCACCTGGCTCCCATAGGAAAGCGCACATGTAAACAAAGTGTGACTTCATTATGTCTTTGGTCTATTAAACAGGTACATCGATCAGGGTTGCCTGATTTCAGGCTTTTTTAAATTGTAAGTAACACATGGGTATCATGCATGACGTGTGTATACTTTCACTTAAAATGTCCGAGTCCACTGAAAGATAAGCCGAGAGGGGGCCGGGGGTTTCCCTGTTCCGAGTTTTGATCGTATGTAGGTACGATCAAAACTCGGAACAGGGAAACCTCCGGCCCCCTCAGGAGGAGACGCAAACGTCCAAAGTCCATAGACGTTTAAGACGTGTACATGTATTCCTTTGGTAGCTCATCATCGCCTTATCACACCGTTCACAACGGACGCACGTGCCATGCCCACGTTGCTATAAGTGTTGACCAGGGCCTGGGTGGGCCCAATTTCATGGCCCTGTAAGCACATAATCCTTAGTGACGGGATGTACGCATGCGCAGAAGCCAAAATTCTTCGCAAACCCAACTGAAATACACTTAACCGTAAAACACGGGATTTTCTGTAAAAGTATTAAGCAGGGATTTGTCGCTAACGATAAACACGTCGCGTCAACTAACTTGGTGCAACAAGGGTCTGACTCGATTCTGCAACAAAATCGTATCTCGCGCGAATACGCTCCGTGCAACAAGGTCGAATCTCGCGTATCGCGACGTCCACTGACTTTGTGTGCACATCCGGGTTATTTAAAGCGAAATTCAGAGCCATGAAATTGGGCCCGGGTGTCACCAGGAAAACAAAATCCGTTCAGTGAGAGCTCAAAGAACTTTGGCCGACAGCGCCCCCTAGGAAAGTACGAGCAATGTTTCCATTTGATATTGATTTCGTTCCGTATGGATTTGTACCTAGTGATTTTAAGTTCCTACGGATACATTGTATATAAACGCGTTTTAATGTTTATTGTTAGGCAAATTCACAGCTATTTAGAATTATATGTAGATTTATATGTAATAAAGCTAATAATTGTATAACTGAATGGATCTCCGAGTGCATCATTCATTTCTTGTGGGTAACTGTTCTTTCAACCTCGAGTCAGGAATGCTTCGGGATTTATCATCGTATGTTTCCACAGGTTTCCAACATTAAACCCGTATGTCCTGGTTCAGTTTTAGAAAATTAAATGTAGAATATTTCAATTCTTACTGCTTTCACATTACATTTACATCATGTACTTGACTCTGTTTTACCCAACCTCGCCCCCAGGGGTTACTTTGTTTTCATCCTCGTTTCCAATATTAACCCCAGGGTGGGTAATTTGCTTCCTGTATCCTGATTCGATACAGTAATAGCTAGCAAGTAATGGATTTATATCATGCACTTGGTGTTATTTCTAACATACGTATTACGTATATAGGCCTCTTATACATGTACAAACATACATTCTGTGCCAAGTACAAAATGTAGTCCTTTCAGTCAAAATCGAACAAGTGACTGTTTTCAACAGTTAAGAATTCCCAGCCTACATAATACAGGATTGACTGGCCGGGACTATTTAAAACTCGATACAGCTATGCTTTGACTCCGGGTGATTGATAAATCAGACGGTGACCACAACTAGCCTGTTTTGTCTGTTGACCTATTTTGACTGGTCACAGTGCTTGCTTGACATGATCTGACTGCTAGTGGCTAGCCTGTGTTAAAAGAATAGCAGGGGAAGTGGATGGAAATTTCTCTAGCAGGAGGTCGTTCAATGTGAATTATTACGTCCACTCCACCTAAAAAGCTCGTACCACATTTTCAATGGGGAGCGCTGATAAAATCCTAAAATCATACACACTATATTAAGGGAATAAATGTGTGCTCCGGAGGTTTTTATCACTCGTTTAATACCGCTTAGAGTCTGGGTGCTGATAATTACCCGAGCCGGAGGCGAGGGTAATTATCAGCACCCAGACTCTAAGCGGTATTAAACGAGTGATAAATACCGACCGAGCACATATTTATTCCCATTCATAAATACCTTATCCGTAAAAAAATTTCAAATAATTCGTTCAAAAAATCCCGATTTTGTTCAACAAGTTCACTTCATGCTTTTTGAAACATCCCTCTAGCAAAATAATGGAGTGTTCAGCTGGCGAGTAAGATGTAAACAACCCTTTTATGGAGATTGACGCGCGCGTAACATGTTCTGCGCGATGTCACGCAGAACGCACCTGGGGCGTTGCGTTTTGAATTTAGAACTATAAAATTCTGACTTGCTTGTAGTGTTGCGCATGCCTACGTGAGGATTGTGAACGTTCAACCAATGAAACGGTAAGAGGCACTGGATTTTTAGGAGTCCACATTTTATTGTGACACTGGAAAAGTGTTTAAGACCAGCAAGCCATGTCTTTATCATCCGTTTAATACCGGCCACGTGACGGGCTCTCGACCAATAGGAATAGCTAAACTGTCTGAGGTATTTATGAATACCTAATAGTGTACAAATGCACCCTTCTCACGACTATTTTTGTTAATGGGGGGTTTGGGGTGGGAGACCGTTTGCATGTTACGTCACCTAACATTTGCTACTGCTATGGAGTTTTTTGTTTTTGTGGGGGAGGCAAAGCCACGGTTTAGATTTGTTTGATTATGGTCAGTTAAAAAGTCTCTTTAAGGTTTTGATAAACATTTTTTTGTTGGGTTGAGACAGGGACTCGAGGAGCAATTGCTTCAAAAGTCCACAACTTTCCTGAACTTGTTCAAACGTGGAAACCAGATTCAAGTTTTTTGTTTCAAAAAAAAATCCGAAATTTATTTTATCATTAAGAATATACGATCAGTTTCCAAGTACAATTATTAACCCATTGCTGATAACATGAGAAAAAAAATGCTAGTATCCCCTTATTTTTGACGGTACATGTATAATAATCATTCTTATTTCAAACACATTTTACATGTCGCTGGGACATCACAAGCACTGTACAATAAAAAAACACACAAATTCCTAGGAAAGGAAAAAAATTAAGTCATGACTGATTTAATGAATAAATTTAACAATTAATTAAAAAAAAAATGTTTACTTAAAAAATGCTGTTGAGAGTAAGCCATAAACAATAATATACATGATGAAAAGTGGAAAGATTTTGGAGGAAATTGTTCATATTACCATCCCCCATCTCTGAATCTTGTATACACTGTATAAATATGTACAGTTACGGTCAGCTCAATAGAATAATACTGTGCACCAGTGGCGTAGCCACGGGGGGGGGGGGGGGGGGGGGGGGGGGGGGGGGGACAGCCCCCCATGAAACCTTGTCGCCCCCCCCCACTGAGATTTTGAATTTCTAAAAAAATTATCATTGATCTACATGACGCCCCCCCCCCATGAAATGTTCCAGCCCCCCCAGCGCCCCCCCCCCCCCCCCCCCCCCCCCACTGAAAAATTCCTGGCTACGCCACTGCTGTACACTGTCCATTTGTTTAAGAGGCACTCAGGAATTTCCCATGAAGCACCAGAGAATAAACTCCTTTAAAATGTTACATATCTGAAAGAAAAAAAGTTTAGTGACATTGCACAACGAAGTTATCACATAAAGTGCATGGAGCAAACCTACTTTTTTTACCTACCTAACGCTAAGGGCACCCTTCTCCACGCACAACTACCTCCTGTTTCACTTTTTTCAGCTGAGTGTCCGATCTTCTCCTATATACATGTACATGTACGGTAGATCTTTGCCGTGATCATTCAACCCATCCATTGTACCTCAGAATCAGAAGTGGAAACATTGGAATGAACTGCACGGAACCCAGGAAAATAAATGCCGTGGTGTAGCTGCCTGTCGTGTCGTAAATCAAACCTACAAATATGTCCACAAAAAAACCAGTCAAAGTAGAGAGTGTTACAAGCCAGAGACGTGATGCGGTCAAGCTTCGTTTGCACTTTAGTGTGCTTTTCTTAAAATCTTATACATACGTATGAATTACCAATGAATGTGTTTCTGATCGAGAAAAATATGCACCATTACCCTAAGGGTAACTAAAGATTATTGTTTAAAAGGTACACAGGGCGAGTCAAAAAAAAAGAAGAAAAAAGGGAAAACCCAAATAGCGCCCTCTATTTTTTCCCACAAAAGTTCTGCATGTAGCGCTTTTCATATCTAGGGTATGAAAGCCCATTTAATAAGCGTGCTTTTAGTGAAAGAATCATTCAAATCGCTTCGGTACTTTTCCAGTTATGGAATTTTGAACACAAACATCGTTTTTTAACCTTGGTCCACGGATTAAGGTACGTGATATTTTAGTAAAAATGAAACCATATTGTTTCCTGAATTAGATATCAGAATAATCCTATAGTTTATAGTTTTGCAGGGCAAAACTATAAACTCTTGAAATTATAAAGCATGTTATGTTAATTTTGGAAGCAGCAGGTTTTAAAATAAATGTTATGACACTGAGTGCCATTTATCATGGTTAAGAGAGTGTTCTGATGATTTTCTGTTGATATAGTTTTGCGTTTTGCTGAAATATCTCTTAACTTTATTGTGATCCGTGGACAAGGTTAAAAACACTGTGTTGTGTGTACAATTCCACAACTGCAGAAGTACATGAGTGATTTGAATGATTCTTGCACTAAAAGAAAGTTTATTAATTGAGCTTTCATAACCTAGATCTTGAACGCACTATACATGCAAATTTGTTTTACAAAAATAGGGATTTCCATTTGGGTTTTTTTTTTTTTTTTTTTTTTTTTAGCTCACCCTGAATTTAGCCTTTGTATTAACACCCATTTGTTAATAAGAGTGAATTTTTTCCTTCTTTTTTAAAAGTTATTTCAATGCAAAGGATCTATGGAAGGTAAGGTAGAGAGAAACCGAAAAGATAACATTGAAATGAAATAAAAGGAAAGGATTTGGTGGAATGTAAAACACTCATGAAATGAAAAAGTGAAAATAGAATTGTAATAACGCAAGAAACCAAATTGGGGAAAAGGAGACAAAAGTAGAAGTACATGTACGAAGACACGCATATGTATCTTACCAGGAATAAAACCGAGAGAGAAATCCATGGTGGCGCTGGTGATTCCTCTCCAGCCAAAAGCACCGGCCAATAAATTTACGCCCAGAACCTGCTTGCAAAGAACGTCTTGTAAACAGCAGAGGGCGCCAGAAAATGTTGCAATCATCAGCGATGACGTCATCATTAGCCAATACGACGTCAGAAACGGAGTTGCGCAGAACGACGCAGAGCAGACGGTCATCGTTATGGCCATTAGAGGGAAGAGTGGTATTATCTTGCGATCCATCAACAGTCCCTGAGCTAGTCTGCCGAGTAAACCGCCAACCCCTGCAACTGTTACAAATGTTGTGGCATCCTCCAAGGAAAATCCATTCGATTGTGCTTGTGAGACAAAGTAAATGATCCACATGTTGAAAGCGTACTTTGTGCAGCAAGCTACGCTTGCCGCTGCCCAGTAACGGTAATCGGACAGCAGCTGGATTTCAAAATTCCTGGAAAGATTCCTGGAGAGCGCGTCGCAAGAAGTAGGAAGTTGACTTGGTTCCGAGATGACATCGTCTTCAGAGAGCTCTTGGTATGTGCTCGTAGGTCCTGCTCGTACCATGAGGGCGCCACACACGACAAGATGCATAGAGATTGCACCCATGAGCAGCATGGCTCCTCTCCATCCATACGTATCGAGGAATAACTGAAAGAGTGGTGCACACACGATCAGCCCGGCAGAATCACCAGTCCGTGCGATGCCCGTAGCAGTGGCGTAGTTCGTGGTGAAGCAGCGACCGATGACCTCTTTCATTAGCACACCAGAAATTCCGAATCCTGTGCCTGTATAATAGGGAGGGAAACCAAAGCAGTTCATTTCAAAAGGAGCCGGCCTGTGGGCGAATCCCCCCGGTCTCAACAATGCAATGACACATTTTAAGTTGTAAGATTTACATGTGGAAGATTTTCCTGCACAAAATATGGATCCCGTCCGAGTACCAGGCTGAGAGAGCAGCTAGTGGGGACGTACTACACAACGCCTTAGGGACGAGGTTGTTCCAGCTTGGGTTCCCGACAGCGGTCACAATAATGAAAGCGCCTACTATTCATACACGGAGTCCTTTAATAGGCCTAATTAAGTAAAAGATTTTGCCACCAAGACTTGGAACTTCAAGACCAAAACTGGTCTCGGTCTTGACATTGCACGTCGAATGCTGGCCAGGTCATGCAGTAAAATCTATCAAGTTTGTTTCAGCGTTTCAGCTCGCTGTCCACAAAATCTATTGCATGTACATTTGTAGTGCATTTGCACTTTGCAGCCAATTAACCTAAAGGTTTGTGCTTTGGTGCACAGAGCCAGGGATACGAGTGCATGAGTATACTCTTGTGCATTCATTTTTACTAAAAACAGAAAAAAAAAAAAAAAAGGCTCAGAAATGCAATGGCTGCTGTCTGCAAAGAATATTGATTGCGATGGTTTGCATTTTTAAGGTAATGGCCATTGGCCACTATTTGCAAACATTAAAAAAAGGAAACCGATGTCAACATTATTATCATGAAACATCCTACTTGATTGTAACTTAAAAGTAAGATCATCAAGCATTCTGTGAAATCATTGCACTAGTACATGTATGCTGTAATTAAGTTGACAAAAGAAGGATTGCCTTTTATTTGCTCTCGATGTATGAGTACCAAACTATCGTGCTGATTGTGCTGATAACCTATACATTCGTGCTGATAACCTATACATGTAGAAAATCAAGCTGCATTTTCGTTTTTTTTTCTCTTAAAAAGTATGATAATTTACTGAGCTGGAATTTCGTCATGCTTTTTTGGGTAAACAGATTTATTGTATAGTGGTTCCTTGACTCGGCAAAAACACGTGTTTTTTTTGGAAAATGATGTCCAATGACATTTGACCACTTTTTCCCGAAGAGATCTCGTCGTATTGGATCATAATGGTAATATGAGGGGCATAGTTACTTAACCAATTACTTACCTAAAAGCACAACAAAAACACACGCTAGGTGGCCAGGAGAGGTTGCAAACGACGCAATAATGACCGCGGCACTGATCATGACACCACACGTCATGACCGCGTAACCGGGACGGAAACGTCTGCCGATCAGTTTCGAAAAAATGCCTGTGATCAGTGACAAAAACTGTCTTAGTACATCGACAGAAAAATGTATTGACAAATATCCTCCAGATCTACAACCTTAATTTAAACTAGACTGTACTTTTTTTTCGAGACCCCGGCCCTTAATCACCTTTGAAATTCCCATTTTTTAAAACTCCACAGCGTTAGACAAATGCAGCAATAGATCAGTAAAAAAAATGCATGTTAAAAAGGGAAGTTGCAAACGCACAATGCTGTGAAAAATGGAACGCTTTGAGGTTCGATTTTTTTAAGACACCATGTATATTCAGCTCTCCCATGGGCAGGCATCGGTGATTAGTCCATGTAGTGCCTGTCATGGAGTTCTTCTTAGGGTTCCCAAAGGAGTAGAGAAGGTGACAATAAATCTGATAATCTTAATTGGTCAGCATCTTGGGTGCAGGTTAAGACCAAAAAAAAATTCTTGGGCGACCACCGATTGGGCAAAAAAAAAGAGTTTATCTGGGTGAACATTTTGCTAGATTGTCAGAACCCCTGCATGTATAACATATATTTTAAGGGCTTTGCTTAAAACAAACTTGGAGTCGGGAGGCTGGTTTCTACTTTGTTTCTCTGTTTCGAAGCTTACCAGATATTCCTGAGGAAGTGCCGATGATGGAGGATATCCAGCCCAGGACCCACGTGGAGGTATCAAACTGATCTTGCAGCAAGGGAATCATCATACCGATGGATTTCAGGACTCCCACCATAAGGAAAAATCGGGTCCACAGAGCGAGCACAACTAACCAACCGGCGAGACCCGCGTCAGTTCCGCCTGCTGAACCCATGCTTTTGCTGGTGTGAATATCAGAAACTCCATTTAGCGGTCATGTCTAGAAGTACCACTGTTGTCTAATGCTATATTGCCCACAAACAGCTTTTGTGATAGAAAGAACCTTATGCTTGATAAAACAATACGATTTAAAAGACACGAAAAGAAGTCACTCAACACTGACTTGTGAATGTATACAAGAAAATACTTAGTCGAGACGCTAGCTCACCTAGATGGTTACACACCTATGTTCCGACAGAGGTCTACCCGACGTTCCCCAATACCTATGTTCCCCAACACCTATGTTCCCCGAAATCCTTAGGGTTAGGGTTAGGGGGTTAGGGTTAGGCTTGGGAAACATAGGTATTGGGAACATAGGTACATGTATTGGGGAACATGGGTATGCACTCGTTCCGAGACCCCTATGTTCCGACACCCTAATCCAAAACGTAACCGGAAGTAACACAATCGTATGTGCGGGTTGTCGGAACCGATAGGGGTGTCGGAACCGATAGGGGTGTCGGAACCGATTGGGGTGTCGGAACCGATAGGGGTGTCGGAACCGATAGGGGTGTCGGAACAGAACAGTCACCACCTAGATTACACTTGGTCTTTAGTCGTTGGAAACAACACCCCTCAGTGCTGTTTAAACCATAAATAGAATCGTAGAAATCACCTACTTTTTCTTGATTTTTTTTTCTAAATGACGGCAAGCCAGACGGAGTAATTTCACGAGGTGATCAGTACGAGTACGATTTTTAATCCAAGTAAGATTTTTGGTAATAATGCGATAGGTTATTGTCGGGATAGGCCTAAAATGGAAATTATCTTATGCATTTAAGTCCCTGCTGATCGAACGTCACGACACTACTATGATGGGTTTCGTTGCTTTAATAAATCAATTATAGGTTTTTGCCCTTCACCAACGTATAAACACTGTATACTCAGTGTCGAACAGTCGAACCAGATTCAACCAGATTCGAACCAGCCAACCGATCTCGCAAGCTCGGTGGCTGAGTGGTAAGACGTCTGCACTAGAAAGCAGGAGGTCGTGGGTTCGAGTCCCACCCGAGTGATTTTTTCTCCAACTTTCACTCGGGAGGTAACACACTGAGTGTACAGTGTTTATAGTGTTTTAATTGATAGATGGCCCATTGAAAATCATCTGTCAGGTGACATGGCTACCATCTGTAAATAAAGCTATTATTATTAGTATTATTATTATACGTCGGTGAAGGGCAAAAAGCTATTATTGATTTACATCACCCCGATCAAATTCCATTTGCTTTTAATACTTACACCAATTTAGTTGACATAAAAGTCGTCCACTCCAAGTTCCAGATCCTATATATATATATTTCAAATACTGTAATGCAAAACAAAAGATTGAACTTGAACTGTTGAGCGCTGTGAATATTATGATCCCAATCTGTGCATTACACGACAATCACTACGGTTGAATGATTAATCGAATCCCCTTAAGCATGGTTACAACGTTGAACGAATACATTTACATTCGAAAAGGTCAAATTTGATAATTGAAGATGAATAAAAGATGAAAATTAACAAAACTGCTGCAAACTGCTTACCGACCGGACTGACATGAAATACATGTATAGGGGCCTACAGGTGTTTAAGGTCAGTTTTGTTAATACATGTAGCATGGATTTCTCAAAGGTCATAATTGTACCGAAATGTTCAATGGGCCATCTTTTTTTATTTTACTTTTGTATTTTGATAACTATTAATTATTGCACAAAATAGTTAAAAAAGTTAAAATACAATGTATTTTAATGTAATCCCGACCACGCCTAACACGCATTGGTTCATTTTTCATTTGCTTTCGAAAATTAATACCTGTCATTCTGAATGATGCATTGCGTTACTATTGTTATTATGCGGTATAAATATACACGGCACACAATTTGCCGCAGCCTGAATGTGTTTATTTTTCATATATCAATTCATGATTCGAATTCAAAGCAACATGGTGTTTTCGTCTCGCCTGCACCACAAACAAAACATAGACGGCCAGGGACCATTCCCTCATTCATTGCTGATATCCTTCTGGGCAAACTGGCTCCCTTAATAGTAGGCCAGCCAAATGTGGAAAAGTTCTCTAGAAAATAATTTCATGGCATTTTTTTGGTAATAGCTGGCGTCCATGCTAGATCAATTCTTTGAACCATAACAAACAAGATGTGGCTGGATGCCATCGTTAATTTTGACCCTAAATATGCCCAATTTGCATAATCGTTAATACCTGCCGTGTAATATATATCCTCCCATATTTCGGTATACCGGTACTTTTATTTTTGAAAAATTTCATTTTGGTGATTCTACTTACACATTCTTACTTCAATAACATTTCCTAAGCATATTATTGAATGAATAATTATGAGGACATCGTAACAATCCAAAATGGCTACTATTACAATAGTATACCAAAAGGTTGCGCGCATTTACCTTGTCTCTAGACATCGCTTGCTATTAATCTTAATTTAAATTATTAGATTCAATTAAAGCATTTTTTTCTGGTGGTAATTACCTTCACATTTGTTATCGCTTGTTTAAATATAACTGTATTGTATTTACATTATCTAACTTTGTATTGGTTTATTGGAGACTGCTAAATAAATGTCAACTGAATTGAATTGAATTGAATCTTCAAGCAGGTCTTGCCAAACCTCAGCATTGATGAGCTTCAAATTCACTTCAAATTTTAGATCGTTCATCATCATCATGTCGGGGTCGCCTGGGTTGTGACGACATCACGAGCCAGTCCCTGAGTCCTGTTCCTCCAGCTGTCTTGATCTACCATGCAGGTGCGCAGCTCCTCTGCAGATGTGAGATCAGTGTCCCTCTTGAGCTGGTCCTCATAATAATTCAGTCACTTACATGCTTAAGAAAATGTTATTTAAGTAAGGGTGTGTAAGTAGAATCACCAAAATAAACTTTTCAAAAAATAAAAAAATAAAGAATATACCAGAATATGGGAATAAATATATTACACTGCAGGGATTAACAATTTATGCAACGTAGGTGTATTTGGGTCCAAATTAAGGGTGGCATCCACCTACATTTTTCTTTTCCATCCTTTGACTGATTGATCTGACATGGTTGCCTGCTATTACCAAAAAATGCCGTCCAAAGTGTAATATTCCACTTTGGCTGGTCCACTTTAGTAGACCACGGCGAAAGTCTGGGCTCCGTGGATAACGGGTGATACTCCGACTATTAATTATTGCACAAAATAGTTAAAAAAGAGCGCGAAATACAATGTATTTTAATGTAATCCCGACTATGCTATATACCGTGTGAAGTACGAATGGTTAAGTTGAGATGACGTCACACTAACGAACCGAATAGGCGGTTGGAACGCGCTAACATGGAATGAACGAACCTCGTTACTGTTTCTTAGTTTCAACAACAGTCTAAGCAGTATAGACACCCCCGGGAGTACAACGTGAGTCCCATAATCTGATTGGTTACCGCCACGAAAAAGCCTAATTATAGTGGCCATGGTTGGACATGCAGCAGTCTAGTCTTTGGCCTCAAGTTGACATCACATTTTTTGGAGAATTTTGTCAGCCAAAGCGTGAGTAAAGTTGGCCTGATTTCGTTTTGCAAGTTTTTTCAGCACTCGAGGTCCCGAGGAGTTAAGTTTAGTACCAGTCCGATCAAAGATAATTGGCTACTTTTGCGATGAATGCAAATGATCCTGTGGCCTGAATGCATTTAGGTGCCCCTGTTAAAATAGGTTTCGTTGCTTTTAATACTTACACCAGTTTAGTTGACATAAAAGCCGTCCACTCCCGAGTTCCAGAAAATATATTTCAAAGACTTTGCGGAAAAGTGACTAAATGATTTCGATGACCAGTGTATCGCCCGTTTCCAGTCCGACAAAGAGGAACTATTAGAGATAGAGTGCGCTTAGCATTGTACATGTACATCTACTTTCTACGTTAATCCGAATGATGGATGCTTGAGCCCGTTATGGTTGAATGACGTTTACCGCTTACTGAACAGATTTGGTGCCTGGGTTCTGGTCATAGTGACGAGAACCTAAGAACCTATCTTGTCAACGGAAACCCACGAGATCCGTTTGTCACACTGACAAGATACATGTACGCTCATAGTGGCAGATGACAAGATTATTGCCGATCTATTGTGCGCGTGTTGTGTGGGAAGCCGTTACTGGCTGCTGGTACACAAGCCCAGTCCGTTCTTGCACGAATCTACAGTCCCGTGTCTCATTCTCCCACTTACAGTTTTTCTTGAACAACGATAGTTTATGCAAATACGATCTCTGGCTTTATACCACTGCTAATCTCCACGTTTGTGAATAAGTGTGTAGATAAAATTCGTACAATCTATTCAACTTTGCCTGGCCTGGGCCCTTTACTTCAAGACAATATACCCTTAGTTCGGACGCATTGGCGCACCACCTTTTGTTCCATTCATCAGGTTGCAGGCCAGTAAATCGGTCCGAAATCGCCTACGCCGGCCAAATCACGATTTGCATGCCCTCAAATTCTTCGCTATTTGAGCATATTGTGGGCCGTAAACTTGAGGGTTTGTAAAAAAATATGGGTGGAAGCCGTGTACAGGACTGTGAGCTTGTAGTTCTGTGCAATTTGGATGAAATTGGAGCCCTAAAAGTGCTCTATTTTGCAATGGAGTGTAGGCGTCTTTTTTTCAAAATGGCGACGGGCTTCAGGACCATTTTAAGGGGTGATCATCTTCCGATGGAAATTTCTCCTAAAAGTCATCAGTTAACCCCCCAAAAATTGAAAAGAAAATGAAAGACGATGAAATTAGCTTTAATGTGATGTGTGTCTGGAATACCTTGGAGAGTTGTGAGTATTTTCCCTGAATTTTTGAAGTGGGGGCATTTATCATTGGGGTCTATGACAGTTTATTTACTGGTATGCAACCATCATGATGTTTCCTGCGGTACGTATAGTATAGCAAGGAAAAATGTCTTTATGTTACTCACTAGCTTGATGCTTGCGTGATCAGGATGAGGTTAATTTGAATGGAATATCATTTGGGACGCGAGTAAAAGGGCGTACTGTGTGGCCGTATATCGTGTGGTCATTCTAGCCTGCGTCCACCTCGTCCAGGAATTTTCGCGGGGGGGGGGGGGGGGGGGTCATCATGCCATAATTTCAATGGGGGCGCTTTTCAAATATACCCCCTAACCAAGCTGGCTCTGTCTGTATTTTGTGCGAAGGCGTACATTATAACCAGACTTTTTTTTTGGTGTGAGAGCAGGGGTGGGGGGGGGGGGGGGGTCGCATTTTTTTCTCATAAATTGCTATGGAATTTTTTTTTTGACAGAGCTGGGGGTGGGGTTTTTGATTTTCTCTTTCCCACACTGAAAATTGCAGTCAAAATCCCTCTCATATTTAAAGTATTTTTTTTTCGCAGAGGCGTAGCCGGAGGGCGGCAACCCCCCCCCCAAAAAATGTCCAGTGCCCCCAGGTGGCCCTCCCCCCTCAAAAGCCGCACAATTTGCTCTTCACCAGAAAAGTGTCATTATGAGATAAAGCGCCCTCATTGTTACTTCATGATCATGGAGGCTACCATTTTGAAACCTTAATCCAAATTCAGGAAGAAAAACAAGTTTTCAAGGTGTTTGACACATCCACACATCATTATAAAAGCTTATATCCATCATCTTTCATTTTCTGTTCAATATTAGGGAGTTAACAATGACTTTTGGGTGAAACTTCCATCCAAAGATGATCACCCCCAAAAGTAGTCCTGTTGCGCATCGCCATTTAAAAAAAATGATGCCTGCGCTCCATTGCAAAACACAGCCATGTATTGTAGGGCCAAATTTCATCCAAATTTTACAGAAATACGAGCTCGCTTTTATCCATCTTTTTTTGTTCCTTTTTTTCTACAAACTTTTTTTTTTACAAGTTCATGCCCCACAAAATGCTCTAAATTGCACTAAATTTCGGCGCTGTTTACTGGCCTGCAACCTCATACATTGTACTACAGTAGGCTCAGCTTTTTTACTTGGAATGTTTGATCCTATCTGATCTGAAGTGGACCGTCCATAACAACGGAGGAATGCGGACGGCTTATTGCAAATGATTTTCTTTAAAAAAAACCCCGGCAAATATCAAAGACTTGCATGTACAATTCCTTTCAAATATGTTAACTTTTAATAATGCGTTGTTTAAATTACAGTTCGAAAACAGAGCACGCACCGAAATAAAATGTAGGCCTACACCCAAACTGGCTCAAAGACGTTTAAGATAATGTATATGTTCATGTTTGGAGCTACAATGGTTTGTTCTGAATAGTGATATAAGGGCGTGACGTTTTCGTAAATGTTTATACGAAAATATCCTAAATCCGTTTGCAACCGTGACTAAAAACAAAACCCGCATTTTTACATGCATTTCACACAGAAAAACAAAGGATGCATTTAAACCCATTAAATTGACAAAGCATTAGTAGCTCTGCAGCACTGTATCATATTCCATAGTTCAATGAGTACATTTTCAGTAACTTCGGGGCTTGTCGGCTATTTAGTGGGTTTGCAATATCTCTTTTGCATTAAAGTATGCTTTTTAACGACAATTCTGTAACCGTTTGAGTTCTGGGGGAAACGTTGGATTCAATTGTCCATTACCGAGGATTATGTTTCGGCTTGTTGGTGACCCGGAGGTTTATGTAATATACTTGTTACAGCACCAAAACTAATGTAAAGCTGTAAATTTATTGATGCTCTGTAGATCGAACTAACATTGCGGATAGATCCCATACTCACTCGTCACTGTCGACCTTAGCCGTCTGGCTTTACGATGCATGCTGTGCTTGCTCCCCACCACCTGTCCAAACTTAAGCTCTGGGGTTCATCATCCTCGGTTTACACAAGTTTCCAACATAAATATCGATTATTATTCTCTGCCATGCTCTCTCCGTGTTCCAGCTGCGCTCGTCATCGCATCACGTGCACGTGTGTCAGGCTTTTCGTGCACGCGTGTCGGACATAAATTATTATATCACGGCTGTGAGTGGTCACAACATTACGGATCGGAGCTTAGTAAGGTGCGTGACTATGATCATTCAACCCATCCCTTGTACCTCAGAATCAGGAGTGGAAACATTGGAATGAACTGCACGGAGCCCAGGAAAATAAATGCTGTGGTGTAGCTGCCTGTCGTGTCGTAAATCCAACCTAAAAAAAGTCCACAAAACAAAGTGAAAAAGGTTACAATAGAAACTGTAATAGGCCTTAGACGTAAGGAGGCCAAGTATTGTTTACATTGTGCGCTTTCTTATAGGTGCCAGGTGGGAGCCATAAACAAATCATGACGTCACTAGAAACAAAATCGTGAATTCGCAAAATGACGATGTTTTCGATCAAGAAAATCATGAACGATTATCTGAGGACTTGCTGAAGAATATTTTTTTTGAAGATGTACCCCCTGCCTTCAGCAACACTCCTGGAGTTTTGTTGTTATTTTACTTCAGTAACAATAGTTTTAACGAGTCACTGAATTTTGTGACTCGATTCATTTTAAGGAAGTGACTCGGGTCGAGTCGAGTCATGAGGTCAAGAACGTCGAGTCGAGTCGAGTCAAAATCACTGTAAACTTAATACATTTTCGCGCAGTTTTGAGACTCGAGTGTTATTAGCCTGGAGTTGAAACAAGTCCGAGACTCGAGTTGAGTCAGGTCGCCAAAAAATGTGACTCGAATCGGACTCGAGTCGAGTCATTGACTTGAGTCCGATTACAACTCTGGTAACAGTGAATACAAAAAGATACATTCATGCGTATCTCTGAAGTAGACATCTGAAAAGATGGTCGCTTTGCAAGAGAGAGAGAGAGAGAGTAACTGAAAAGATACAATTCTAATGAGAGGAGACGGAGGAAAGGATTCGGTCGAATATCGAAGTCATGAAAAGGTATCAATTTAAATAAAGTTGCAAGTAACGTAAAATGTTGGGAAAAATGTCTGGCTATAAAACACATGTTCAAACGGCATGCACGTGTATCTTACCAGGAATAAAGCCGAGAGCGAAATCCATGGTGGCGCTGGTGATTCCTGTCCAGCCAAAAGCCCCGGCCAATAAATTTACGCCCAGAACCTGCTTACAAATAACGTCTTGTAAACAGTAGAGGGCGCCGGAAAATGTTGCAATCGTCAGCGATGACGTCATCATTAGCCAATACGACGTCAGAAACGGAGTTGCGCAGAACGAAGCAGAGCAGACGGTTATTGTTATGGCCGTTAGAGGGAAGAGTGGTATTATCTTGCGATCCATCAAGATCCCTTGAGCTAGTCTGCCGAGTAAACCGCCAACCCCTGCAACTGTTACAAATGTTGCGGCATCCTCCAAGGAAAATCCATTCGATTGTGCTTGTGAGACAAAGTAAATGATCCACATGTTGAAAGCGTACTTTGTGCAGAAGGCTACGCTTGCCGCTGCCCAGTAACGGTAATCGGACAGCAGCTGGATTTCAAAATTCCTGGAAAGATTCCTGGAGAGCGCGTCGCAACAAGCTGGAAGTTGACTTGGTTCCGAGATGACATCGTCTCCAGAGAGCTCTTGGTATGTGCTCGTAGGAGATGCTCCTGCTCGTACCATGAGGGCGCCACACACGACAAGATGCATAGAGATTGCGCCCATGAGCAGCATGGCTCCTCTCCATCCATACGTATCGAGGAATAACTGAAAGAGTGGTGCACACACAATCAGCCCGGCAGAATCACCCGTCCGTGCGATGCCCGTAGCAGTGGCGTAGTTCGTGGTGAAGCAGCGGCCGATGACCTCTTTCATCAGCACACCAGAAATTCCAAATCCTGTGCCTATATATGGAGGAGAAACCAGTAGTGGAGGGGGACTGTTGAGCACAAGTTGACCTTTTCTAAAGAAATATGTAAAGGTCACATAAATATGTAAATATGGAAATATGTAGATATATAAATATGAATTAATAGGGTTATGAAATTCCGGGCACAGTTTGACCTAATGAATGGATGGGATGAATAGGGAATAGGTGTGGGTATAAGGAACCGGGTACAGTTTGACCAATTCTATGGGAAAGATTGCATAAGGTATGGAAAAAAAATATATATATTTTTATGTTACATTTGGATCTTAGCCCGAATATGAGATTCATACGTTAGTCCCTGTGAACGACCAGCTGGTCGGATCTTTAATCCCCCAACAATAGACGGGAGAGGGCTCGTGCCAAGTCAGCGCATTAGTATTGTTACGAAGTTAATCCGATGATACAAAAAGTAATTGGATTTCCGAATGCTCGAAAGCAGAAAGCAGTGATAGATGGCAAAAATGAATTTTGCGTTGATCAGACTGAAACGAGTACGATTGTCTATTTGAAGAATTATTTTAAAGTCATTTTTATTGGGTTTATGTGTATTGTGCACGTTGCGTTTTCCAAGTTATAAACAAATACTCACCGCAGCATACTTGCAGGGTACAGCCTGTGTCGGCCAGGGGGGTATATGATAAATCCACGATCCATAATCCATGCGTCTGTACGGAGACCGGTGGTCGATCACCCCTCGATGATCGTACCGATCATGGAGCAAATAAATAACTCCGTCCGTGCGCCTATATTCCTCTTGTTAATCGATACAATACCAATGGCACTCTTCTACACTGCCACCAGAATCATCCAAGTAAAAATATATGTCTGTGCGCGGTGATCGTAGAAAAGGGAAGGTTTTGGCATTAGCCAGAGCAAATGCTAGTACACATGCACACTACTGTACACACGCCGTCCGATCAGATAGCGCTCAAGTTTTCTTAATCCTTGATGGCTAAATTATCGATTAGGCTCTATAGTCAGCAGATGCGCGTACAATAAGGAATGGATTCAGTGGTTTAAAGCGTGTTCAAGCACTAATTTTATGACTGAGAGTAGGCTTTTCCGATTGATAAGACAACACAAACAAAGAAATATACAACTGCAGAAAGTACATACGTTATGACATTATTGCTTTATTGACGTCATTTCTCATTAAAACATCATCCTACTCTATTCCGTGCTCATCCTACTCTTTTCCGTGCTCATCCTACTCTTTTCCCTGCTCATCCTACTCTTTTCCCTGATCATCCTACTCTTTACCGTGCTCATCCTACTCTTTTCCCTGCTCATCCTACTCTTTTCCCTGCTCATCCTACTCTTTTCCCTGCTCATCCTACTCTTTTCCCTGCTCATCCTACTCTTTTCCGTGCTCATTCTACTCTTTACCGTGCTCATCCTACTCTATGCCGTAGTAACCAGTGTGATAAAAGCTTTGGACGGAGATATAATCTCTGGCGACATACCGAAAACGCTCATGATGAAGATGAATCTGAAATGAATGGGGTTAACGATGATTCTGAAATTGAGGTTATTCAATCTGATCATCCTGACGTGGATGAATCGGGCTCGGAAACGGACTCGGAGGTAGAAGATGACGATGAAGATGAGTCTAGTTCTGAATTAGAAGACAATGCTACATTCCAAGACTGGTTGGAAGAGTCCAAAGAAGCGACTCGTGAAATCTGGAGCGAAAAACATGAAAAGTACATCAACGAGGGTATGGGTGAAGATCAGGCCAAGGAAAAGGCCGATAGGAAGACCCTCTGGGCAGTCAAGCAAATCTTTTTTGACAAGTACAAGGATTTTCTGTCAAGTTACCTACATCTGAAAGATAACGATACTCATCAAGATATTGTGGACAATCTCGATGAAAAAATATATAAGGGCATTAGCGTACAAAAGGCTCTCGGCAGAATTATGCCTAAACACCAGATGAAATTTGACGGATTGTTCCATCAAGATGAAGAAGACGTCAGCGAGGAAGACAGTGACGATTAAAGACTAGTCAACATTACAATGACGATATAATTGCGAAGAAATACATTGGGACAGACAAATAAAAACACGAGTGTTTTAATAAAGCAATAATAAAGTCAATAAAGCAATAATGTCATAACGTATATACTTTTTGCAGTTGTATTTTTCTTTGTTTGTGTTGTCTTATCAGTCGTAAAAGCCTACTCTCAGTCATAAAATTAGTGCTTGGACACGCCCTCTCAATAATCCCCGTAAAATGGTCGTAGATAAAACCCAGTCATCCTTGATTTTGTAAACAAATACGGCACGGAGGTACAACTAGGGTTCGGTGCATTCCTGTCCAGACAGCGTTAAAGGGGCACCATTTTTCCCGTCGAACGCCAATCCCCCACCCCCTCAACACCCCCCCCCCCAAAAAAAAAAAGTGGTTCTCACACATCCTTAGAAAGACGATGAATTTTTAACTATGGATAGGCTATAGCTTGGTTTGGGGGTCGTTCTAGTCCTAAATATTACAAAATGCACAATGATGGTTGTGTTATTCCTATACACTCAATCGGGCACTTTCCAGGCCGTAGTTCCCTTTAAAAACCACATGCCCACACGTTTTGTTATGGCTTTAAACCACTGAATCCATTCCGTATTGTACGCGCCTCTGCAATAGAGCCTAATCGATAATTTAGCCGTCACGGATTAAGAAAACTTGAGCGCTATCGGATCGGACGGCGTGTGTACAGTAGTGTGCATGTGTACTAACACTTGCTCTGGCTAATGCCAAAACCTTCCCTTTTCTACGATCACCGCGCACAGACATATATTTTTACTTGGATGATTCTGGTGGCAGTGTAGAAGAGTGCCATTGGTATTGTATCGATTAACAAGAGGAATATAGGCGCACGGACGGAGTTATTTATTTGCTCCATGATCGGTACGATCATCGAGGGGTGATCGACCACCGGTCTCCGTACAGACGCATGGATTATGGATCGTGGATTTATCATATACCCCCCTGGCCGACACAGGCTGTACCCTGCAAGTATGCTGCGGTGAGTATTTGTTTATAACTTGGAAAACGCAACGTGCACAATACACATAAACCCAATAAAAATGACTTTAAAATAATTCTTCAAATAGACAATCGTACTCGTTTCAGTCTGATCAACGCAAAATTCATTTTTGCCATCTATCACTGCTTTCTGCTTTCGAGCATTCGGAAATCCAATTACTTTTTGTATCATCGGATTAACTTCGTAACAATACTAATGCGCTGACTTGGCACGAGCCCTCTCCCGTCTATTGTTGGGGGATTAAAGATCCGACCCAGCTGTTCGTTCACATTGCACCACTTAGTTGCAATTACATGTAGATACATATTCTCCTAAAATTGTAATATTTTTCCATACCTTATGCAATCTTTCCCATAGAATTGGTCAAACTGTACCCGGTTCCTTATACCCACACCTATTCCCTATTCATCCCATCCATTCATTAGGTCAAACTGTGCCCGGAATTTCATAACCCTATTAATTCATATTTATATATATACATATTTACATATTTACATATTTATGTGACCTTTACATATTTCTTTAGAAAAGGTCAACTTGTGCTCAACAGTCCCCCTCCACTACTGAAACCAAAGCAGTTGATTTAAAAGGAGCCGGATTGGGGGCGGAGTCCTTCCACCGATATCAACAATGCAATAACCGATAATAATGTGCAAGATTACAATCTCATGTGCAAGATTTTTGCACATGCACAATATAGAACCAGTCTGAGTACGAGAGGGAGAGAGCAGCTGTTGAGAGCGTTCTGCTTGACGCCTTAGGGACGAGGTTGCTCCCACTTGGCCAACTGGGTTCTCAAAAGACGTCACAAAGCGCCATCTACTATTCATACACGGAGTCCTCAGCAGGCCTAATCAAGTAAAATACTTTGCCAACTCCGAGGCCAAGACTGATGTACGCAAAGACCAAAACCTAGAGGCCGCGTGATCGATACCAATTAGATTTCAGAAATGATATAATATAGCATCTTTATACCATTCCATGATAATCATCTTCCCTTTTCTTTTCCTTTACCCTTTGTCAACAACCGATGAATGTTGTACCATACGAAAGTTATCCTGCTAAAATCTTGTTTGTAAGTACACGTAGTGTGAAAACCAATGCGCCTGTGTATCAAAGAAATTAATGGAGGTGGTCACGCAACATGTCTGTTGTGAAAAAAAATGTTTTGGGTGTTGTCCCTTAAAAGCTGCCGTGAATTTAAATTGTAGGACAGCACAACAAGTACGTCACGTGGCCGGTCTTTTTAAACGGATGATAAAGACATCGCTAGCTGGTCTTAAACACTTTTCCAGTGTCACATAAAATGTGGACTCCTAAAAAACCAGTGCCTCTTACTGTTTTATTGGTTGAACGTTCACAGTCCTCACGTAGGCATGCGCAACACTACCAGTGAGTCAGAATTTTATAGTTCTAAATTCAAAACGCAACGCCCCAGGTGCGTTCTGCGCGACATCGCACAGAACGTGCCACGCGCGCGTCAATCTCCACAAAAGGGTTGTTTACATCTTAAACGCCAGCTGAAAAGTCCATTATTTAGCTAGAGGGATGTTTAAAAAAGCATGAAGGGAACTTGTTGAACAAAATCGGGATTTCTGACCGAAATATATTTTTTTTGACCGAAATATTATATTTTTTTTCTGGGTGCTGATAATTACCCGAGCCTCCGGCTCGGGTAATTATCAGCACCCAGACTCTAAGCGGTCTTAAAAAGAGTGATTAAAACCTCTCGAGCACACATTTATTCCCTTATCTATGGCTGTGCCAATGCTTGCGCGCGCTGCGCCGAATAACAAAACGAACTACTAATTTAATTTTTCCTATACGGTGCGTCTTAAGACGCACCGACGGAAAGGCCTTCTTTCGTTGATTTCTTCAAAATAATAGCTTGCCAGAAAGAATAATTTCACAGGGAATTTAGTCAACTTAC